AATGACCTTCTGACTGCTTCTGACAATGGACTTGTCTCTGTACTTGTATTATTAGATCTTAGTGCTGCATTTGACACCATTGACCATAATATTCTTTTACAGAGACTTGAGCATCAAATTGGCATTAAAGGAACCGCACTAAGCTGGTTTAAGTCATATTTATCAGATCGCTCGCAGTTTGTACATGTTAACGAGGAATCTTCAATAAATACTACAGTTAGTCATGGAGTTCCACAAGGTTCTGTACTTGGACCAATACTATGCTCCCTTTAGGCAACATTATTAGGAATCACTCCATTAACTTTCACTGTTATGCAGATGATACGCAGTTATATCTATCAATCAAGCCCAATAAAATTAATCAATTATCTAAATTACAAACATGTTTTACGGACATAAAATCCTGGATGAGCTGCAATTTTCTGATGTTAAACTCAGAAAAAAACGAAATTCTTGTTCTTGGCCCCAAAAACCTTAGAGACTCACTGTCTAAAGATATAGTTACTCTAGATGGCATTAACTTGGCCTCTAGCACCACTGACAGGAATCTTGGAGTTATCTTTGATCAGGATTTGTCATTTAACTCCCACATAAAGCAAACCTCTAGGACCGCCTTCTTTCATTTACGTAATATTAGAAAAATTAGACACATACTATCACAGACAGATGCAGAAAAACTAATCCATGCATTTGTTACTTCAAGGCTGGATTACTGCAACTCTTTATTATCAGGTTGCCCCAATAAGTCCATTAAAACGCTCCAATTAATTCAGAACGCTGCAGCACGAGTACTGACAGGAACTAGAAAAAGAGATCACATCTCTCCTGTACTAGCTTCTCTGCATTGGCTCCCTGTAAAATGTAGAATAGAATTTAAAATCCTCCTCCTCACCTATAAAGCTCTTCATGGTCAGGCCCCTTCATATCTTAAAGAGCTCATAGTACCCTATTACCCCACTAGAACACTACGTTCTCTGAATGCTGGGCTACTTGTGGTTCCTATAGTCTCTAAAAGTAGAACAGGAGCCAGAGCCTTCAGTTACCAAGCTCCTCTCCTGTGGAACCAGCTTCCAGTTGTGGTTCGGGAGGCAGACACCCTAACCACATTCAAGAGTAGGCTTAAGACATTCCTCTTTGATAAAGCTTATAGTTAGGGCTGGATCAGGTGAGTCCTGAACCATCCCTTAGTTATGCTGCTATAGACCTAGTTCCCATGGTGCACTGAGCTCCTCCCTTCCTCTCTCTTTCTGCACTCATTCATGTCCCATTAATTCATGTTACTAACTTCACTTCTTCCCCTCTCTCGCAGGTTCTTGTCGATCCTGGTGGAGCCTCCTGCCATGGTCCTGCTAGATTGCCATTGCCAATACTGTTGTTGCTGTGCACCTGTCTGTCTCTCTGTCTGTCTCTCGCTCTCTCTCTCTCACCCCAACTGGTCGAGACAGACGACCACCCACCTAGAGAGAGGATCTGTCCTAGGTTTCTGCCTTTTAACAGGCAGTTTTTCCTTGCCCTTGTTGCCAAGTGCTTGCTCATGGCGGTACTGTTGGGTCTCTGTAATTAATGTTTTAAAGAGTTCGGTCTAGACCTGCTCTATTTGAAAAGTGTCCTGAGATAACTTCTGTTATGAATTGGCGCAATACAAATAAAATTGAATTGAATTGAATTGAATTGAATTATTCTTAAAAAAAATATCAATCTTTGGAGTTGAAAAATCGATATTGTATTGGGCGGCAAAGTATTGCATTATATTGCCGTATCAATATTTTTACCCACCCCTTGTATGCGTATATATGCGTATGTGTATGTATGTGTATGTATATGTGTGTATATATGTATGTGTATGTGTATGTATATGTATATGTGTATATATGTGTATGTTTATATGTATATATGTGTATGTGTCCACTAATCGGAAGGTTGTTGGTTCGATCCCTGGCTCCTCCCGCCACATGCCGAAGTATCCTTGAGCAAGATACTGAACCCCGAATTGCTCCCGATGCTGTGCATTGGTGTGTGAATGTGTATGAATGTGTTAGTTTCTGTTCGATGGACTGAGTAAATGTGTGTGAAAAGGTGAATGTGGCACAATGTGGCAAAAGCCCTTTGAGTGGTTGGAAGAGTAGAAAGGTGCTATACAAGTACAGGTCCATTTACCATTTACCATATGTATATGTATGTATGTGTATGTATATGTATATGTTTATATGTATATATGTGTATGTATATGTGTGTATATATGTGTATGTATATGTGTGTATATATGTGTATGTATATGTGTGTATATATGTGTATGTATATGTGTGTGTATATATGTGTATATATGTATGTATATATGTGTATATATGTATGTATATGTGTGTATATATATATTTATATATATATGTGTGTGTGTACAGCGGGTAAAAGAAGTACACATCACCATTATTCTCAGTAAATATATCTCTAAAGGTGCTATTGATATGAATGTTTCACCAGACGTCCGTAATAACCCATGCAATCCACACATGCAAAGAAATCAAACCATAGATGTCAATAAATTAAGTTATGTATATAATGTTAAATGACACAGGGAAAAAGTATTGAACATGACAAAAGGCAGGTACAAAAAGGCATGGAAAGCCAAGACACCAGCTGAAATCTATCAGTAATTAGAAAGCAATCCTGCCACTTGTCAGTGCAAATTAATATTAGCTGGTTCAGTCCCAACTGATGGCCTATAAAAAGGTGTCTCATCACCAAGGTGTCACACAAGAAACATCTCATGATGGGTAAAACCAAAGAGCTCTCTCAAGACCATCGGAACCTTATTGTTTCAAAACATACTGATGGCATTGGTTACAGAAGGATTTCTAAACTTCTGAATGTTCCAGTGAGCACTGTTGGTGCCATAATCCGGAACTGGAAAGAACATCATTTCACCATAAACCGGCCACGACTAGGTGCTCCTCAAAAGATTTCTGACAGAGGAATGAAAATAATTATCAGAAGAGTTGTCCAAGAGTCAAGGACTACTTGTGGAGAGCTTCAGAAAGACCTGAAATTAGCAGGTACAATTGTTTCAAAGAAAATAATAAGTAATGCACTCAACCGCCATGGCCTGTATGCACGCTCACCGCGCAAGACTCCACTGCTGAAGAAAAAGCATGTTGAAGCGCGTATAAAGTTGGCTGCACAACATTCAGACAAGCCTGTGAAATACTGGGAGAATAAAGTCCGGTCAGATGAGACCAAAATTCAACTCTTGCCATAATACACAGCATGTTTGGAGGTCAAATGGCACTGCACATCACCCCAAAAACACCATACCAACAGTGAAGTTTGGAGGTGGGAACAGCATGGTGTGGGGTTGTTTTTCAGCATATGACACTGGTAAACTTCATATAATTGAAGGAAGGATGAATGGAAAAATGTACCAAGACATTCTTGATAAAAATCTGCTGCCATCTACCAGGATGATGAAGATGAAACGAGGGTGGACATTTCAGCAAGACAATGATCCCAAACAAACAGCCAAGGGAACTTTCAATTGGTTTCAGAGAAAGAAAATAAAGCTGCTAGAATGGCCCAGCCAATCACCTGACTTGAATCCAAAAGAAAATCTATGGAAAGAACTAAAGATCAGAGTTAATAGAAGAGGCCCACAGAAACTTCAAGATTTGAAGACTGTGCGGAAGAATGGGCCAAAATCACACCTGAGCAATGCATGTGACTAGTTTCTCCATACAGGAGGTGTCTTGAAGCTGTCATTACCAACAAAGGCTTTTGTACCAAGTATTAAATACATTTCAGTAAGCGTGTTCAATACTTTTTCCCTGTGTCATTACATACATACATACATACATACAGCCGGGGTCTGTTCTAGGTTACTGCCTCTTAAAAGGAAGTGTTTCCTTGCAGCCGTCGCCAAGGTCTTGCTCATGGTGGTACTGTTGGGTCTCTGTAAATGTCATAAGGCATTCGGTCCAGACCTGCTCTATTTGAAAAGTGTCCTGAGATAACTTCTGATATGAATTGGTGCTATACAAATAAAACTGAATTGAATTTAAATTGAATATGTGTATGTATATTTATAACATATATGTATCATTATATTAATGCACTCCTTTTGGTTTTTCTATGATGCACATTGTAAATATATTTTCTGTACAGTTTAGATCTTTCCATCTTTATTTATTTATATTTTAAAAAGTAGTTTTATTTTTGTGTGATTTTTATGCACCAACGCACCAAGACAAATTCCTTGTTCGTGTAAAAATATGTGTATATACGTATGTAGGTATAGGGCGGCTGTGGTGCAGGAACAGAGCGGGTCGTCCCCTAATCGGAAGGTTGTTGGTTCAATCCCCGGCTCCTGGTGCCACATGTCGAAGTATCCTTGAGCAAGATACTGAACCCCAAATTGCTCCCAATGCTGTGCATCGGTGTGTGAATGTGTATGAATGTTAGTTTCTGTTTGTGAATGTGTGAAAGGGTGAATGTGCCATGTAGTGTAAAAGCGCTTTGAGTGGTCAAGTGGTACAAGTACGGGTCCATTTACCATTTACCATGTATATGTGTATGTGTGTATGTATAGGTGTATATAGGTATATATATGTGTATAAAGGTATGTCTATACACGCATATACACATATGCGTGTATAGACATACCTTTATACACATAGGTGTATCTGTGTGTATATGTGTATAAAGGTATGTGTGTGTGTATACATCCGTGACTGCACCGACCTTCCAACATTAAAAATTAATTAATTAATTAAAATTGCTTTTAATGTTTAGCTCAGATTGATGTGTTTTTAGTGTTTTACTATTTGATGTTGTTTTGCTGTTATGTTTTTATGTAAAGTGTCTTTGAGTATCTAGAAAAGCGCTTTACAATAAAATGTTATTATTATTATTATTATTATTATTATTAGGTATGTATATGTGTATATGTATATGTGTATATGTATATGTGTATATAGGTATGTCTATGTGTAGAAACATGTGTATATGTGTACCTTCTCCAGTGAAGGAACCAGCAGTCCTCTCCATTTCGGTGAGTTCTCCTCGTTGAAGAAGTCGTACTGCAGCTGTGCCGCCTGCATGGCTGCCGCGTCCGCGTCCGCTGCCGCTGCCGCTACCGCGTCCGCTGCCGCTGCTGCCGCGGAGTCTGAGCGCCGCAGCAGGACCGACACGCTCGGTTGAGCGGTTTACATGAACGCAGAGAGGCTGATCCTGAGTCCAGCGGGGGGGGTGAAGCTGTGAGAACATCCAGCGGGGGCAGGCCGTTCCTCCAGAACAGCTGCTGTCACTGCGACCATCCTCGGCCGCTCCACGGAGAGCTGGCTGCGGCCAGATGTTCCACAGCTGACGGTTAGCTCCGCGGCTAGCTGCTGGGTGTTGTTCCGTTTACCGGGATGACAACATGGTGACCGTTAACCGTTCCATGCTACCGGTACCGGACAGACAGAGAGCTGCTGAGCTGGCTGTTAGCCTGTTAGCATGTAGCCTGTGAGGCTAACGTTAGCAGCGGTTAGCAGCCTGCGGATGGACCATCAGCAGCGGGTTGCTTTGATGAGCTGCCCGGTTCCCAGCTGCTGTTAGCGGCGGGCTCTGTCTGTGAGTGCGGGCTCAGTGTGAGCTGTACCCGGGTTATCGGTGTGAATCAGCGGCTGTGCGGCTCTCTCCGCTCCGCTCCACTGCTAACATTCTACCCGAACACAGCGACTCTCCGGCGGGGTGGCTCCGGTAAGTTGGCCCCCACTCCTCCACCGTGCATCCGCTACTCCGGCTCCGTTCCCCGGACTCTCAGACAGCAGCTCCGGCCCGGGCCTCCTGACAGGCGGACAGTCACCGAGCTAACGGCGGCTCACTGTCAACGGCTGTCGGTTGTTGTGACTCCGGTGTGCGGTACCATACACTGACATGCGCAGTGGGAAGGTTCTGACGTAAATGGGCGGGGCTCCTGAGTGGGAGTGCGTGCATGGAGACGGCGCGTGGCAGAGTGACGTCTGCTGCCACCCGGCGGACTTCAGCGGTACTACAACTAAAATATTATTATTATTATTATTATTATTATTTATAATAATGATAATGAAATATTATTCATAATAAAATATTTATAATAACATTAATGATATTGTAATAATAATAAAATAAAAGAAGACGATGTAAAATATAATGATTCAATTCAACTCAATTCAGTTTTATTTGTATAGCACCAATTCATAACAGAAGTTATCTCAGGACACTTTTCAAATAGAGCAGGTCTAGACCGAACTCTTTATAACATTAATTACAGAGACCCAACAGTACCACCATGAGCAAGACCTTGGAGACAAGGGCAAGGAAACACTGCCTGTTAAAAGGCAGAAACCTAGGACAGATCCTCCGGCTCTAGGTGGGTGGTCGTCTGTCTCGACCAGTTGAGAGAGAGAGAGAGACAGAGAGAGAGAGAGACAGACAGACAGACAGACAGACAGACAGACAAAGGTGCACAGTAAAAACAGTAGCAACAACTACACTAATAGTAGTGACTGATGATGAACATGAAGAAGATGATGATGACGATGACAACAACGATGGGGGACAATGAGCAGTGATTATAGTAATAATAGTAACTGTAGTAATAATAATAGACTTAGACTTCTCTTTATTGATCCCTTTGGGATGACTCCCTCAAGGAAATTGGATTTCCAGCAGCTTACAAAACACTTGAATAGAAAATAAAAGAGGTATAAAAAAATGCAGTATATAAGATGAACAATAAACTCTTAGCTAAATATTAATAAGATAAAATAAAATAAATGTAGAGAACTGTATAGAGGATAAATAAAGATAGATATATAGGACTGTATATGGCATTGTGTTATTATACAGTGGATAAATGACATTAGCAGAAATTAGCAGTTAAATTAAATTATTGCACTTAAGCGGTGGATCAAGTTATTGCACAAAAAAAAGAAGAAGAGTGTCCAGGTATGTATGAGTAGATTATTATTGCACAGTGAGTGGCTACCACTCCTTCCCTTCTGTCCTCTTTACCCTATTTCCTCCTCCTCCCGAGTGAGGGGTTGTAGAGTATGATGGCATGAGGGACAAATGAGTTCTTGAGTGTGTTGATCCTACAGTTGGGAAGGAGCAGCCTTTCACTGAACAGGCACCTCTGGTTGCTGAGGACGGTGTGCAGGGGGTGGCTGGCATTGTCAATAATGTCCAGCAGTTTGTCCAGTGTCCTCCTCTCTGCCACCGTCACCAGTGAGTCCAGCTTTCATGCTGACCACAGAGCCAGCCCGCCTGATCAGTTTATCCAGTCTGGAGGTTGTCTTTCTTAGGTATGCCCCCCAGCACACCACAGTGTAGAAGAGGACGCTGGTAACCACAGACTGGTAAAACATCCAGAGCAGTTTGCTGCAGATGTTGAAAGACCACGATCTCCTAAGGAAGAACAACCTGCTTTGTGTCTTCCTGTACTGGTGGCTGGTGTGTGTTGTCCAGTCCAGTTTATTATCCAGCCACAGCCCAAGGTATTTGTATGATTGCACAGCCTCCACCTCAGCTGCCTCTAGCAGGACTGGTCGCGGTCTTGGTCTGGACCTCCCAAAGTCAATGACCAGCTCCTTTGTCTTAGAGGTGTTGAGCTGTAGGCAGTTAGTGTGACACCAGAGAGCAAAGTCCCCCACCAGTCTCCGATACTCCTCCTCTCTGTCACCCCTGATGAACCCAACGATGGCTGTGTCATCAGCGTACTTCTGTATGTAACACAGCTCTGAGTTGTAACAGAGGTTCGAGGTGTACAGGGTGAAGAGAAGAGGGGCCAGCACTGTGCCCTGGGGGGCTCCAGTGCTGCTGACCACAGTGTCAGAGGTGGTGTTCTTCAGCCTGACGTACTATGGCCTGTCAGTGAGGTAATCCTTGATCCAGTCCACCAGATAGGGGTCCACTCCCATCCTGTTCAGTTTGTCCTGAAGTATAGGGGGCTGGATGGTATTAAAGGCACTGGAGAAGTCCAAGAAGAGAATCCTCACTGTGCCACTTCCCTTATCCAGATGAGAGTGGACTCGGTGTAGCATGTAGAGGATGGCATCCTCCAAACCAACATCTGGCTGGTACGCAAACTGCAGGCGGTCCTGGGCGTGTTGTACCTGGGGTCTGAGGAGGCTGAGGAAGAGCCGCTCCAACGTCTTCATCAGGTGTGAAGTGAGTGCCACCGGTCGGAAGTCATTCAGCTCACTAGGCCTGTTCTTCTTCGGAACCGAAACGATGCAGGATGTCTTCCAGAGGGTGGGCATTCTCCCTAGCTGCATGCTAAGGTTGAAGATCCGTTGTAGTGGTTAAATAATAATAGTAACAATAAAGAAAAACAATATTTACAACAAATTAATTATAATCTATCTCTCTCTCTCTCTCTCTCTCTCTCTCTCTCTCTCTCTCTCCCACCCACCTTGAGCCGAAGGATCTGTCCTAGGTTTCTGCCTCTTAAAGGAAGTTTTTCCTTGCTGTCTCCAAGGTCTTGCTCATGGTGGTACTGTTGGGTCTCTGTAAATAACGTTATAAGGAGTTCGGTCTAGACCTGCTCTATTTGAAAAGTGTCCTGAGATAACCTCTGTTATGATTTGGTGCTATACAAATAAAACTGAATTGAATTTCATTTTAAAGGAACCCTCCCAACCCTGCAGACTAACATGGCTGCAGTGGGATGATGTAAATAATAGTTAATAGTTTAAGCTCCAGTGTGTTGAACTTAGCGCCATCTACTGTATCTCACTAGGGTGATATTGATCAGCTTTAAGGGAGAAGTGGAGGAGCCCTGCACTGATGCTGACCTAATATATCTGTATATCTATGTGTATCTGAGATAAAGCTGCTGTAAACACCCTGCTGAGGCGTTTCCTGTCAGCTCATCATCACATTCAGCTATAACTGTAGTTTCCATGAACTCACACTGACTGTAATTCACACGTCTACAGGCTGAAGGAGGCGTTGCTCACATGTGACAAACTGTGTGAAAGTAAACCTGCTGATTTAACATCAGATGAATCAGATTAAGTGTCTGTGTATCAATATGAAAAATGTAAACAATGATTTCTGTCTCTACTATTTAATGACAAACACACTGGCAGCTACAGAGCATTGATCTCACATTTAATCATTTATTCAATACTTCACTGAAATGAAATCAGACAAAAGTGAATAAACACTGCAGAAGAGAAGAGAATCAGTCTGAAGATGTTGATATTTACAACTGAACACACACTGAGTGTCCAGCAGAGGGCAACACAAGGTTTCAGGTTTGATCGGGCTTTAGGGGATATAATAGAGTATCAGGGGTATCAGATGGTACAGAGGGGAGGCTTCAAAGGGTATCAGGAGGCATTAAAGGGTATCAAAGGATAAACTGTGAGAGGGTATTTGAGAGAATGAAGGTTATCAGGGAGTCTCCGAGAATATAAAGAGGTGTAAGAGGGTATTCAAGGGTAACCGAGAGTATAGGAAGAGTATAGGACGGTTATCATGGGGTATCTGAGGGTATAGGAGGAGTTTCAGAAGGTATCAGTGGATATCAGAGGGTACTAGAGGTTTTAAGAGGGAATTCTGGATTAACAGGAGGGGTATCAGGCATGGGTGTACAAGGCATAAAAAGATCACTCAAAGATGGGAATCATGGAGTATCAGAGGGTGATATTAGTATTTAAGGGTATTCAAGGGTACCAGAGTTTACAGGGTGGGTATTAGGGGGTATAGGAAGTATCTGGAGACTTTTGTGTTAAGGGCTTAATAAAGTTTGAAGAGGGTGTCAGGGAAGATCTGCAAGTATAAGAGGAGTATGATGGGGGTTTAGAGGGTAAACACCAGTTACAAGTTTCCTCATCAGCCAGAACCCAAACCCAGCACTGTACCTAAACCTGTTTCTGCCTGATCCTGTAAGCCTTTGTTCCTTATTTTGTTAATAAGTCACTGATCTACCTCCATTGTCAGTCTATTCCTGTTGCCCCACTCGCACCAGTTGTGACAGTATCTGAGAGTATAGGAGGGGTATGATGGGGTAATGAGAGGTCTTTGGGGTATCAGACCTGATGAGGAAATGTTCATCAGCCTGTGCTGTAAGAGGGTATAAGAAGGGGTATCAGGGGACATTACGTATACATGAGAGGGTATCAGAGGGTAAAGACGTGGCTTTCAGCCTGCTGTAGGATCTGAGACTGAGCTGAAGATGACTGAATTCAATAAATAATAAAGCACCAAGCAGCAGCATTGAGTCAATTTACACACCTGGACCAGCTGTTTAGACCCAGACTACCTGTGTCAGAGACCAGTTAATCTGATCCAAGATGTTTGTTGACTTGTTTGAAGAGTAAAGGGTTTCATCTAGTCCAGATGTTCTGTGATAAATGTTCTCCAGACACACAGAACGCAATGTTCCTCATTCAGCTGGACAGTGAAACTCCAGGTCAGAGTCAGTGTGAGGCTCAGCTAGCAGGCCGATGGCTCAATTTACATTTACTTCTTCATAACACTGCTTCAGTTCATTCATATGTTCGTATCAGGTAAAAAACACACTATACTTTATATACACATCTCTGTGTGTGTGTGGATGAACTCCGTTTTAGACTGATTGTATTTAAGTTGCTGGTTTTACCAACTTTGACGACTTTTGTTCAATAAAAAAAGTTGGTCTTTCAATCATTATTGTTATTATATTTGTAATGATACTCAGCCCTGCTCGTACCACATATCGTTATCTGTACATGTAGCTGTGAATATATCACTATAAACACTCACCTGTACATCAGATTTGCTATATGACAATTCTCATACACGTCTATACGCACACCACCAAGAATGATCCTTACAGTTAACCTGTTCATATTTTTGGTGTTGTGTATATTTTATATTTGCACTCTTCCCACTTTGTACTGCAACAGCTTCCCTCAGGATGAATGAATCTTATCTAAAGAGCTTTAAGTGTTCAAAACTGCTGATGAGGATGATTGGTGTTTAAAGGATTTTCTGTAGCTGTTTTCACTTCATACAGTATTTATATTAAAGTTCAGACTGACTGCTCTGTACTGTGCCAGCGCCTCTCAGGGGTCGATCACAAAGAGATGCATCACCAGAAATTAAGCACAGTGTTAGTTCAGGCAGGCCACGAAGTCAAGCTCAGCTCTCAGTTTCAGCTACATCAGTTGATCACAGCTGAGCATAAACACACATCAGCTGATTCCTTCAAAGCATCCAATTGGCAAATATCATTAAGGGCGCCTTATTTAAGCTGCTTTAGCCGGCCTATCTTTGCTGCTTTCTCTGCAAGCCGGTTGCACGTTGCCTCGCTCCCCCGACGCTCTCTGGAAAGACGTTTTGAAGCAGCCACACCTTTAATTACCCTTTGTGTGAAACATTAACTCTACGGATTCTTTACAGCCTGGACGCACATTAATCAGTCCCTCCAGGAAGTTGTAACAATTAACACAAATTCAACCAATCTGTGTGAATTCTGTCCAATCCAAACAACTCTAATCTGAGCAATGGCTCCCAAAACGTTTTATTCTCACTGGACAGGTTGCCTTTGTTTTGTGATTAATTACACAAAGAAAAACAAATCAGCAATTTTCACTTCCTCTTGAAATTTCAGTGCAAAAAAAGCCTGAAAACGTCCCAATGTGTATCATTTTTTAGAAAAGCTGCAGTGAAATTAGACATTTTAGGCCACAACAATCCCAAAAAAAGCCAGTGAGATCCTGGAGGGACTGTCTGAAACACTAAATCTGATCGATCCGAGTCCTCCAGACAGGACTGAGGTTAAATGTTCTGCACTGTGATCTGATGATAAATCATCTTAAATCAATAATTCAGATAGGACAGTGGCTGTACTGACTGAGGTCCAGTGGACCTGCAGGTTTGGATCATCAGGTTCAGTTTTTTTTGCAGCAGTCGAGTCCGATCTCAGTCCGAGTCCATATGTGGTTCTGTCGTTTATTCTGCATTTTATTGTATTGTTTTGGTCCAGACCTCCACATCCCGCCCCCCATACCGGAGACACTGATCTGGACTATTTAATATGACAGACGTCATTATGTAACTTTATAATACCAGAATACCAGTTGATGTTCCACTGACTGTAACAGACTGAAGGTTTCTCTGTCCACCTGTTCTTGCACTGTGTAACTTTGGTCTCCGGGTCAGGACAAGAGCTTTACAGTCTCACACCATCAACTCAGTCAGTGATTTCGGGATTTAATAATTTAATGGAGAAAATATTTCCTGGTTTTCCCTCTGACGTCCTCCGGTTGCCCTGCCTCAACTCTCTGTGATTTACATAGTTTTCTGATGGACAGTAAACAAACTGCTGCCAAATTAAGTGGCTGTTAGCTAGTTAGCTTAGCTGCTCTGCCCTGGAGGTGTGGGACTGTGTTATCGGAGCTACAGTGCTTCATCATAATGCTGCTGTCACATTTTTTACCTTTTTCAAACAAATGCAGATTCTTGAGATTTGGATATTGCACTGGGCCCTCAGAGAGAGCTCAGAGGACGCTGACGGAGGACGCTGATGGAGGAAGAGTGAATGTGGGGCTGTCCAGGTGCAATAACAGGCTGCAGACAGACGGACCCTGGCCTTCCTGCTGCTGTTCAGCTGCCCGCTGTGTCTGCTGTTGTTGACCTTGTTGATGTCTGGCTGTGTTACGGGTTAGAGTAGTAGTCAGAACAATGTATTCACCACAGTGGGACTGAACTACAACCAGATCTGACACAGTGCTGGTTTAAAGTCTCAGTCTGACTCGGACTCGACTGCTCGGCCTTTGACCTCCCGTCTGTCTGACGAACACGTTGCTTCGGATTAAAAGTGCAATTCATTGAACACATTTTAGAAACAGGTGCTGGACTCCTGCAGCTCCACCTGGACCCGCCTCTAATCTGTCCAGGACCCGGCCCACATAAACCTGGTACAACAAACACTGTGCGAGGTTCCTGTCATTGACCCCTCCTCCTCTGTTTGATTGACAGCCTGCGGCTCAGACTGAGGACTCGCGGGCTGTTTTGGAGCGCAGAGCTCCGGCCCGGCTCAGGAAGGGGAAGGTGGTTCCGAGGCAGCCGGCGGCCACCGTCAGTCCCAGACTGGCCCAGGCGCAGCAGATGGACCAGCCGTAACCGTGATCCACGTCGGCTGGGAGACCGTAGATGAAGGGAGGGTTCCTGGAGAGGTCGTAGGTCGCACTGGCTGCATACGTACACAGAGAGATGGTGCAGAAGATCCCTAAGAGACCAGAGACCAGATCAGATTTGAACATTATTGTTATATAATACATAATATATAAATGTGTATAAATATACTTTTATTGTCTGTATATATAAAAGGTGTATTATTCATTGTGTTGTATCAGAAACGGTCTCTGTTGTTGTTGTGAGTCCTGACTGTCACCAGCAGAGGGAGACACACACACACACACACACACACACACACACACACATACAGACACAGTCTCAGGTGAGTTACCTGCCATGAGGAACAGCAGTCCGGAGACGTGCTGTGTCAGACTCTCCTCCCAGAAGAAACCCACCGACGCCACGATGCTCCCACACAGGAGGACCGCTGCCGCCATGCCCAGAAAGCCCGCCGTGATCCGCCGGAGGTCTGCACAACCCACACACACACACACACACACACACACACACACACACACACACGGTCAGTAATGAAGTAAATGAGGAAGCACAGAGTGTTGCCGTGGTAACCCCCTCCTGCTCACCCCCCCACTGTCCCTCTGTACTGTTACATAATGCTGTCATGGTGTGTTTCCATGGTAACCAGTAACAAGCAGCAAACCTCAGGTATGATATCTATCATCAATAATCTATCATCAATAATCAATAATCAGGCTGTGCTCACGCAGCAGGTGCCACTCGTCCTGTTGGATGGTTCTGGTCAGGTTCAGAGGGATGTTCCTCAATCTGATTGGCTGAGAGAAATGATACTTCACAGCCGTACAGCGGTCAGCGATACCTGCAGAGAAACAGGTGAGACAGGTGAGTCAGTTTATAATCAGTCTTTAACCTGCAGTGTCTCTAACAGCCAGCAGGGGGCAGCTCCACTCTGATAGTATTGAGTCTTATGGAGCAGTTGATGTATGAGCTCAGTAAACAGTTTCCTGATGAGTTTCTGGTCTCAGTCTCTAGTTTCAGTCTTCTTCCATACAGCATGATGTTCATTTAGTAACTGATGGTCCCATTGAGAGTAAAACAGACCATAAAGCAGGGTATGCTTTAGGGCGGGGCTACCTTGTGATTGGCAGCTCATTCTCAGTGAGTCCGTCCAGCTCAACCAAACTCAGATCAAACTGTCAAACAGTGCTGATCAGATATGGATCCAGATTCTGTTGTTAAAGCCCAACTGGGGGACGCACATTAATATATTAGAGTAATAATAGTCTGTTTACAGGCCAACAGTCCCACAGTGGGAACCAGAACCTAATGCTAACCTGCATATGTGGGCGGCTGTGGCTCAGAGGCAGAGCGGGTCGTTCCTTAATTGGAAGGTTGTGGGTTCCATCCCCGGCTCCTGGTGCGACATGTTGAAGTATCCTTGAGCAAGATACTGAACCCCAAATTGTATGAATGAGTTAGTTTCTGTTCGATGCACTTTGCCATCACTGAGTGAATGTGTGTGAAAGGGTGAATGTAGTGTAAAAGCGCTTTGAGTGGTCGGAAGACTAGAAAGGCGCTATACAAGTACAGCTCCATTTACCATCCATGTGGGACAATTAGCATTAATAATCAGTTATAGTGTTTTTGGGGTTATTGAGGAAACTGAATCCATTTCTGACATTTTCAAAATACAAAATGGCCGTTCAAACAGGAAGTGGCCATATTTCTACTCTGATGATGATGAATGATATTGATTCATTCTGAGGTTATTGACATGATTAATACATAAACACAGCAACATTACTATCACCTCTGAACATTGACACCAATGAGCTTCTTACCATACAGTGTATTATATATGTATCATACAGATAACCACAAAATGAATCAAATATCACAGAAACGAACATTCACACAAAGATTATTTACTATAAAGAGCAAAGTTACATTTCTGATTCAGTCCAAACTCTTTATTTGATTTGAATCGATATATTATAAGTGAATGAAGCTACCAGATATTTTATTACAACTTCTGTTGTTCTTTACCAGAAACTAAACTAAACTAAACTATGAACCTCTGGAACCGGCGGTTCTCAGAGAGCTACAGGACCCCCAACCTGAGACCTTCTGAGACCCCTGTTTGCAGACTGCTGTGGTCTGTGTCCCGTCTGTTTTTGTTGTTGCTGATCCTCCCGCAGGGATCGATCGGTCTAATCTGATCTGGGCTTGGTCTAATGCAGTGTAATAACCTAATGTGGTCTGAGAGCTGTAATCTGATTCGTGGTCTGAGTGTTGTCGGGGTCCAGATCCTCTCTGACCTCCAGGTTCCAGGTTGGCTCGCTGCCAGAGACTGCAGAGACACAAACTGAAGACGTCAGACCAGCTTCTAATGCTGGTCCCAGGGCAGGGTTTCATCTTGTAAGACCAGTTTGAGACCAGTTTGAGACCAGTACAGTACTACAGCACTACAGTACTACACTACAGTACTACACCAGAGTACAGTACTACCTTACAGTACTACAGTACTACACTACAGTATTACAGTACTACACTGCAGTACAACACTACTACACTACAGTACTACACTACAGTACTACACTACTACACTGCAGTACAACACTACTACACTAAAGTACTACAGCACTACACTACATTACTACACTACTACACTTAAGTACTACAGCACTACACTACAGTACTACAGCACTATACTACATTACTACACTACTACACTACAGTACTACCTTACAGTACTACAGCACTACAGTACAGTACTACAGCACTACACTACAGTACTACAGCACTACAGTACTACAGAACAGTACTACAGCACTACACTACAGTACTACAGCACTACAGCCCTACAGTACTACGCTACAGTACTACAGCACTACAGTACTACCTTACAGTACTACAGCACTACACTACAGTACTACAGCACTACCGCCCTACAGTACTACGCTACAGTACTACAGTACTACCTTACAGTACTACAGTACTACATTACAGTATTACACTACAGTACTACCTTACAGCACTACACTACAGTACTACAGTACAGTACTACAGAACAGTACTACAGCACTACACTACAGTACAACAGCACTACACTACAGTACTACAGCACTACAGCCCTACAGTACTACACTACAGTACTACAGAACTACAGCACTACAGTACAGTACTACAGAACAGTACTACAGCACTACACTACACTACAACAGCACTACAGTACTACACTACAGTACTACAGCACTACAGCCCTACAGTACTACACTACTACATTACAATACTGCACTGCAGTACTACCTTACAGTACTATACTACAGTACTACATTACAATACTGCACTGCAGTACTACCTTACAGTACTACAGTACTACACTACAGTACTACAGAACTACAGCACTACAGTACTACACTACTGTACTACTTTACAGTACTACAGTACTACATTACAGTACTACACTGCAGTACTACCTTACAGTACTACACTACAGTACTACAGTACTACAGTACTACATTACAATACTGCACTGCAGTACTACCTTACAGTACTACAGTACTACACTACAGTACTACAGCACTACAGCCCTACAGTACTACACTACAGTACTACAGAACTACAGCACTGCAGTACTACACTACAGTACTACTTTACAGTACTACATTACAATACTGCACTGCAGTACTACCTTACAGTACTATACCAGAGTACTACATTACAATACTGCACTGCAGTACTACCTTACAGTACTACAGTATTACACTACAGTAGAGTAAATGTGTTAACTGATGGAATTATAAACATTAAAGAATATAAACATATACTATATAAACAAATACCATCAGACATGCTGCTGTCTGTAGAGGAAAACATATTCCACAATCCACCAGTGTCATACCTCCTCTGTGCTACAGCTCTAATACTGTATTAAATTGTGGTATTAATATAGTATTACTGTAAACTGCATGTATGTGTATTTGTATTGTATACACCATCAGTACATGAATACAGTACTAATAAATAAAGAGACAGAGATACACAGTATACTGACTGTATATGTACATCAGATATAGCCTAGGTATACAGTATGGGCAGGCTGGTCGATGTCCGGGTCCATTAATACATTAATATGTTATTATAAACAGTATCTATAATGTATGTGTATGCAGTAAATATACTGTATCTATACTGTATCTTTACAGTATATATACATTATCTATACTGTATTTATACTGTATCTATACTGTATACATTATGCAGCAGTATTTATACAGTATACATACATTATACATTACACATGTAGTATTTCTGACCCCGGTCGATGAGCTTGTCGATGTCCGGGTCCAGGCTCTTGAAGTAGCACTTCCTCCAGAGGCCGGAGTGAGTGGAGAACAGCGGCCTGCCGCACTCGGTCTCCAGGATGCCCATCCCCAGGATGGCCCGCCAGTTCTCCAACAGCTCCTCCTCTCTGCTGCCCACATGAACGGGCTTCATCAGCGCCACGTCCCGCTGCCGGGCCCCGCCGCTGCCGGTGTCCACCAACGGTAGGTGGTAGATAGGCATCTCCCGGTTCTTCTGGTCGTTGGAGTCGGAGCCGTGGCGGTCGCAGTTGTCCTTGTGCCTGCGGGTGTCGGTCTCGTACCAGTGGTCGGTGGAGATGGCGGTGACCAGCAGCAGCAGGGACAGCACGCTGAGCGCGAGGCTCACCGCGGACACCGTCACCGTCACCGGCCGAGCTCTCTCCATGGCCGGGACATGGAGAGAGCCGGAGCAGGTCCCGGTGTTCGCTCGGTTTCCGCCGCTGTTTCCGTTACTGGGCATCTTCTGCTGCCATCCTCGCGCCCGTCAGCCGCTCCCGGTCTGCGCTCCAGAGCGCGTTGTCATGGCTCCGGACCGTCAGAGCTGCGTCAAGGTGACGGCAGGTAGCACGCTGCAGCACCGGAAGTTGAGTCAGCCTTCAGCATAAAAGTCTCAGTAGAATAATAATGATAATTTTCCTTCAACATCTGCACTCAGCTACTGCAGATGTTCTACCATGTTCTGTACTGTGGGTTGCTGGGGAGGAGGCATCGGGACTTATGGTGCCAGCTCGGTGGGGATGGCGCTACACAGTGTGTGTGTGTGTGGGGGGGGGGGGGGCATCATGGACAAGCCTTCTCATCCTCTCTACTCAGGAGCTTTCAGCCACAGTCTGATCCAGAACCGAGCCTCATAGCGGTTTGGAGGCTCGTTTGTACCATTAACCATCAGAGTCCACAACCACAGCTCCCAGTACCTCCACAACCACAGCACCCAGTACCTCCACACCAGTACCTCCACAGCAACAGCTCCCAGTACCTCCACACCAGTACCTCCCACAACCACAGCTCCCGTACCTCCAACCACCCACCTCCCCCCACCCAAACCCCCAGTACCTCCACAACCACAGCTCCCAGTACCTCCACACCAGTACCTCCACAACCACAGCTCCCAGTACCTCCACAACCACAGCACCCAGTACCTCCACACCAGTACCTCCACAGCAACAGCTCCCAGTATGTCCCACCTCTCCTGATTAAGACTGTTTTAACTTTGCACAACTCTCTCTCACAAACTTGCAATAATTGCACATGTACAGTTATACACTGTTTAAAACCACACCATATATCTTACTGCATACTGCATATAGTGTTTATATTTTAATTATAGTCTTTATATTTTTATAATATTTTTACTAGTATTCTTTACTGTACTTTTACACTTGGTACTTTCTAAAGTATTATTTTTTTTGGTCTTTATTTGACAGAGATACCTTGGAGACAGAAAGGGGGGCAGAGAGAGGGGATGACACGCAGCAAAGGGCCACAGGTCGGACTTGAACCCGGGCCGCTGCGTATATGGGTTGACAGCTCTACCGACTGAGCTAACCGGGCGTCTACACTTGGTAATTTCTGAACTGCATTTCCCCTATGCTGTGTCAAACTTTAATTTTGTCCCACAGGAGATCAATAAAGGAACATCTTATCTTATCTTACCCTACCTAAGCCCTGTATCTACAGCACTGTAATACTGTATACTAATGCCCTGTATATGTCCTGAGTCCTAACCCTAACCCCTATTGTTATCATATTGATATGAGGAGTTTTAAAGTGCAGACAATGTTTTAATTCACTCTCTTCTCAGATCAGCTGCTCACTTTCCCAGGCTCTGAATGTCCTTGAAAGTCTGAATACAGATCTCTCTTAAGTGTAACTTCATCAATTTATCTGGAGATCAGCAGGAAATGGTAAAAGCTTGCACTTCTTTCTCTGTTATGATTTTTCACAGTTATGGATACTGTCACTGTTGTCATGGAAACAACAATACCAGGTCACAGGAGAATAACCATGCTCTAAATATTATCTTATTATTTTAAAAAACAAAGTAAAAATTAAATCATCAATGTGACAGTAAAAATCTGCTTCAGTCTTATTGTGAAATTACAGAGAGGAATTGCTGATATGACATCACAGCGGCTTACTTGAGGGTGCTGAGCCTTCTGAGCAGGGTGTGGGCTCTCGCTCTCTCTCCTGCTGTCTGTCTATGTCTCTCTGCCTTCAGATACCGCACACCAGCCCTGATTACTAATGATGATTATATAATAATGATAATAATCATAATATAATGATGAACTGTCACAACAAACCCAGTTCAGATCAAAGATTGATGAAACTGTTGGAGGGAAAAGTTGGAGCAGTGTGAACTGACTCAAGCCAACTGCTGGCATCACCTGCAACTTCCTGTAGTTGGTCAAATCTCCAGTTTCAATAGTCAGTCAGTAGAAAAGTATGCTGGTCAAGTCCGTTATATGAAAGGAGAGGATCACCTTGTCAGTTTGTTTGAGAACGGCCTGAGACTCTACAAATGATATCCAGTGACAATAAAGCCCGAACACAAGGACAGAGAGTCGTTGCTATGGAGACGATACACCATCTTCTCTGATGGCATTGGTGTGAACTGGCAGGTTGTCAGACTGTAGCAGGCCGCACAGAGTAGCAGCAAGTTTCAACTCCACCAGTTGCATAAAGTCTCTGAGGAATCACATTTCTTCAGTAGAGTCTCAGGAGTCTCAGCAGAGTCTCAGCAGAGTCTCAGGAGTCTCAGCAGTCTCAGCAGAGTCTCAGGAGTCTTAACAGTCTCAGCAGAGTCTCAGGAGTCTTAACAGTCTCAGCAGAGTCTCAGCAGAGTCTCAGGAGTCTCAGCAGTCTCAGCAGAGTCTCAGGAGTCTTAACAGTCTCAGCAGAGTCTCAGGAGTCTTAACAGTCTCAGCAGAGTCTCAGCAGAGTCTCAGGAGTCTCAGCAGTCTCAGCAGTCTCAGCAGAGTCTCAGGAGTCTTAACAGTCTCAGCAGAGTCTCAGCAGTCTCAGCAGTCTCAGCAGAGTCTCAGGAGTCTTAACAGTCTCAGCAGAGTCTCAGCAGAGTCTCAGGAGTCTCAGCAGTCTCAGCAGTCTCAGCAGAGTCTCAGGAGTCTTAACAGTCTCAGCAGAGTCTCAGCAGTCTCAGCAGTCTCAGCAGAGTCTCAGGAGTCTCAGCAGTCTCAGCAGAGTCTCAGGAGTCTCAGCAGTCTCAGCAGTCTCAGCAGAGTCTCAGGAGTCTTAACAGTCTCAGCAGAGTCTCAGCAGTCTCAGCAGTCTCAGCAGAGTCTCAGGAGTCTCAGCAGTCTCAGCAGAGTCTCAGGAGTCTTAACAGTCTCAGCAGAGTCTCAGCAGTCTTAACAGTCTCAGCAGAGTCTCAGCAGTCTCAGCAGAGTCTCAGGAGTCTCAGCAGTCTCAGCAGAGTCTCAGCAGAGTCTCAGGAGTCTCAACAGTCTCAGCAGAGTCTCAGGAGAGTCTCAATAGAATCTCAGCAGAGTCTCAGGAGTCTCAGTAGAGTCTCAGGAGTCTCTAGAGTCCCAAGAGTCTCAGCAGAGTCTCAGTAGAGTCTCAGCACAGTCTCGGGAGTCTCAGTAGAGTCTCAGGAGTCTCAAGAGTCCCAAGAGTCTCAGGAGAGTCTCAATAGAATCTCAGCAGAGTCTCAGGAGTCTCAGTAGAGTCTCAGGAGTCTCAAGAGTCCCAAGAGTTTCAGCAGAGTCTCAGTAAAGTCTCAGCAGAGTGTCAGGAGTCTCAGTAGAGTCTCAAGAGTTTCAAGAGTCTCAGCAGGGTCTCAAGAGTCTCAGGAGTCTTAGTAGAGTCTCAAGCATCTCAGTTGAGTCTCAGTTGAGTCTCAGTTAAGTCTCAGGAGTGATTCCGTTCCCAGCGTTACTAATTCCCATCATTAGTATTCATTCATTACACTTACATACTGTACTATATATATATATACTATGTTTTTAATGTCTTATTTTCTATACACTGTAATATTTATGATCCCTGGATCAATAAAATATTTCTGATTCTGATCTGAAACGTTTTAAAACTGTTATGATAAAACTTGTATCTTTTTTGTGTGTACCTGAAGTTATCAGAGAGACAAACATCACTCCAATGTTTGTATTGTATAAATTCCCACTGTCCCTGAAGGCATCTCCAGTCTCCCAGCCAGTTGGGCAGTGCGCATGCGCCGTACTCGCGGAAGAAGCCATGTTAAAGTTGTGTTGACAGTCTCTGTGTGTATTAGTCCGGGTCGGTCCGGGTCAACGTCTCCGGGTCGGACCGGTGAGTACAGCCAGGAAGATGAGTTGCTGTCCGGACATCTCCCGCAGGAACCCGCAGGACGACTTCCAGCTGATCCAGCGGGTCGGCAGCGGGACGTACGGTGACGTCTACAAGGTACCCACAGCAACGTCACAGAGCGTGAACTGACTGTGTGTTAGCTTAGCATTAGGCTACCTCTGACTGACGCACACGTGTGTGTGGAACTACTGTATGACAGAAAATAATCAATAAGAGTTTAGTTTTCATTTTGATTGGTTTCTTGTATCAACATGAGGCTGCAGACAGGTGATCAGGACAGAGAGTCCACCTGAAGCAGAGAGCCAATGGGAGCAGAGCAGGAAGTCCACCAGCAGGGTCCACATGTGACAGAACCTGTTTCACATCAGTTCACGTGTGAAGCTCCCTGCACCAAACTCCCTTTAAGAAATATCACATTTTAACAATTCCTAACGTGTTCGTAACAACACGTAACTCTAGAAACACGAGCTAAAGGCCGTCATATGTCCACAGTCTGACTGTCAATACAGGATCAATATCATCCATAAAGATACAGTGTATACTGATCAATATCATCCATAAAGATACAGTGTGTACTGATCAATAATCCATAAAGATACAGTGTGTACTGATCAATAATCCATAAAGATACAGTGTATACTGATCAATAATCCATAAAGACACAGTGTGTACTGATCAATAATCAATACAGATGAGTGTATACTGATCAATATCATCCATAAAGATACAGTGTGTACTGATCAATAATCCATAAAGATACAGTGTGTACTGATCAATATCATCCATAAAGATACGTGTGTACTGATCAATATCATCCATAAAGATACGTGTGTACTGATCAATATCATCCATAAGATACAGTGTTCAATATCATCCATAAAGATACAGTGTTCTATAATTCTCCATAAAGATACAGTGTATACTGATCAATAATCCATACAGATACAGTGTATACTGATCAATATCATCCATAAAGATACAGTGTATACTGATCAATATCATCCATAAAGATACAGTGTATACTGATCAATATCATCCATAAAGATACAATGTATACTGATCAATAATCCATAAAGATACAGTGTGTACTGATCAATATCATTGATCGTTAGTGGATCAGATACTGAACCAACTAACCCTGGCGCTGATCATTCACCGTCTGTTATTTGTGATGCTGCCGTTACCATGGTAACTACTGGTTCTCTGCTTCCTGATATTGATCCTGATAGATGTTTTTGTGGCGGTGGCGAGCTCTCTGATGGCGTCTTTGAACAGTTGACTGCCTGCGAGTGTAAAATCAGGACTGAATCCTGTAAATTGATCCGATTGGTTCCTAACGGCTGCTGTCGATCACTTTGAGAAATGTTGGTGAGATTTATAGAGAAATGATGTCGATAAAGAGCGAACATACTTTCACCCACTGAGCTCCTGAGGAAGGAATAAAGCTCAGTCTGTGTTTAAAACCCCTCATAAAGACACTGTGTGGTACCTCTGTTCTTATTCCGATCGGTATATTATTGTATTATTATTATTATTATTGTTATTGTTTGAAGGTGTAGCAGCTAGCTACAGACGAACATCCACAGATTCCCATTCCAGTTTGTTGTCCTTGCGTATCCGGATCTCCTCAGACCGGAACAGACTCGGTCCGGACTCGTTCAGTGTCAGTAATCCACAACAGTCAGTTTAGATGCACAGAACGGGACCGAACAGCCGGCAAAATCCGCTGCAGGTATAAAGCCGCTCGCGCCGCTGCAGGTATAGATCAGCGTGTTTCTTAAGGTGTGTCGTGGGGGTCGGCTCTGCAGTGATTGGCTCTGCGGTGATTGGCTCTGCGGTGATTGGCTCTGCAGTGCGGTGATTGGCTCTGCAGTGCGGTGATTGGCTCTGCAGTGATTGGCTCTGCAGTGATTGGCTCTGCAGTGATTGGCTCTGCAGTGATTGGCTCTGCAGTGATTGGCTCTGCAGTGCGGTGATTGGCTCTGCAGTGCGGTGATTGGCTCTGCAGTGATTGGCTATGCGGTGATTGGCTCTGCGGTGATTGGCTCTGCAGTGATTGGCTCTGCAGTGCGGTGATTGGCTCTGCAGTGTTGGCTTCAGTGATTGGCTCTGCAGTGATTGGCTCTTGCGGTGATTGGCTCTGCAGTGCGGTGATTGGCTCTGCAGTGCGGTGATTGGCTCTGCAGTGATTGGCTATGCAGTGATTGGCTCTGCGGTGATTGGCTCTGCAGTGATTGGCTCTGCAGTGCGGTGATTGGCTATGCAGTGATTGGCTCTGCGGTGATTGGCTCTGCAGTGTGGTGATTGGCTCTGCGGTGATTTGTGGTGATTGGCTCTGCGGTGATTGGCTCTGCGGTGATTGGCTCTGCGGTGATTGGCTCTGGTGATTGGCTCTGCGGTGATTGGCCCTGCAGTGCGGTGATTGGCTCTGCAGTGTTGGTTGCGGTGATTGGCTCTGCGGTGATTGGCTCTGCGGTGATTGGCTCTGCAGTGCGGTGATTGGCTCTGCAGTGTGGTGATTGGCAGTGCGGTGATTGGCTCTGCAGTGCGGTGATTGGCTCTGCAGTGCGGTGATTGGCTCTGCAGTGCGGTGATTGGCTCTGCGGTGATTGGCTCTGCAGTGATTGGCTCTGCAGTGATTGGCTCTGCAGTGATTGGCTCTGGTGCGCACGTGGCTATGGTGGCTATGGTAATGCTAGCGGAATTCGTAAATCATTTATGAAATAATTTATTAACTGAATCTTTGTAGTCCAAACAAAGCCAACGTTGCACACCCTTAAACCACACAGCAACCATGTTGAAACTCTCAGGTCAGTCTGATCCTGATCTGCAGAGATAGTTGAGGCACACAGACAGACAGACAGACAGAGATTTCTTGCTTTTATAGAGAGATATTATCATATTATATTATCTTATTATATTATTATTATTATTATTATTATTATTATATTACATTATTATTATTATATTACATTATTATTATTATTATTATTATTAAATTACATTACTATATTATATTATTGTTATTACATTATTATTATTATATAATATTATTATATTATTATAATATTATATTATTATTATTTTATTTTATTATTATATTATATTATTATTAAAGGCTGAACAAGAACAGATAATGATTTACTGCAGGTGTGTGTTTATTAGGAGACTGTCTTTCTGACTGTCCGACTGTCTGTCTCGCTATCTGGTGGTCAGGATGAGGTTTGTCATGTATCCTTGGTGTCCTGGTGACTGGGGCCTCATGGGAAATCTCAGGTGACTGCGTCTCTCGTCCTCAGAGTCAAAACTCAACGTGACGGCAGAAAAAAAATGAAAGTCTGTCCATTAAGTTGATCAATAATTCATCAGCGTCCCTGCTGGGCTCTGCTGCTTCCTGTAACCTGACCCTCCCGTCCTCCCCCGTCCTTCCCTGTCCTCCCCCTCTGGAACCTCCCTGTCACCCTGGAGTCTCCCACCTTGACTTTGACATCTCCGATTGGCTGTGAGGACACTGCTGATTGATTATTGTCATCATCGATCAGTGAGAGATCTCTAATGTTGTGAAATATAAAACAGTCCAACCCTTGAACGCAACACGACAACATCCAACAGGATGCTGCGTCAACCAATCACACACAAGGTTGCATTGCTGGTTACTTCATGATCGTTATGACCATTCATAAATCTGTCACTCAAACTGGATCAGACTTCCTGTCTCGCTGCAGAAGGATGCACTGTACTGAGTCTGTGCAGTAGTGATCGGTGTCGGTGCAGCAGCATATGGGCGGAAGAAGAACCGGAGACAGGGTGATGGGGGGCCGAGGCTTATTGATTCAGGTGGGGAGTGAAGACTGACCCGTGTGGTCCGATCCAACAGACGAGCTACTGTAGCTCAAACTGCTGAAACAGTTAATGCTGGTTCTGATAGAAAGGGGTCAGAACACACAGTGCAGAGCAGTCTGTTGGTCTGGGACCAGTCAGGGAGTCCAGTGCTCACAGTGTTACTGCTGATCAATTAGGGCTGGGCAATAATTCGATCTCAATTCGGGATCGCGATAAAATGTTGATCGATTTCGATAATAAGCTTAGTACATATTATTCGATATCACATGAAAAAGTAAGGGCAACAACAACAGTATCAGAGTCTGCCGGCTGCCGTATGCCGGTAGGACACGCCCACTTCCCATTGTGAGCAGCGTGGCTACAGTTACGGGGAAAGAAGTTGGAAAAAGGAGAAAAAATTAGCGAAACTGAAGTCGAGGACAGCAAAAATAATGCCAAACGTGAAAGCGACATCACTACATCACCCGAGACCGAAGACATTGTTGAAAAAAAAGGTAACACGACGTCAATTGTGTGGATGTGGTTTGGATACGGCAAAAGCGACCAGGAGCAGGTGAAGCCGGTCTGCAAAATATGCCGGCGGTTGGTACCAGCCAGGACGGGGAACACAACAAATCTTTTCCATCACCTGAGACGGCACCACCCCAGTAATTACACTGAGAGTGTGACTCTGCAGGCTCAAGCTGGCACGACACCACACACACAGCCAAGCAAGACCACTACATCTGCCGTTAGCATCGCTATATAGTGAAAAGTGACCAGTCACTTATTAGTTTGCACTTGTTTGAAAGCATATAAAACTCTGTATGAGTGAAAGAGTGCTGCTCTGAATTTTCTTTTGCCAGTTGTGGGCCCTGCTGCTCTCTTGACCAATGGAAAGATTCATACAATGTGGGAGTGTAATGTGAATCCTTTGTCTGCATGAAGACCTTAACAAAAACAATTTGTGCTCATTATTGGAAGGCATATTCTTAATTTCTTTATGTTATTAAACTTTATTATAAAGTTTCAGTGAATATCTTGTTTCTTCAAGCTTCAGGATGTCCGTCACACTGGCAGCCTCTGCAAAAACTACATATCGTGATAGAATCGAGATCGATCAATACGGAAAAACATATCGTGATAACATTTTTTTCCATACCGCCCAGCCCTATGATCAATATATCAGTCTATATACTGTTAGTGATCAATATATCAGTGTATATGCTGTTAGTGTTCAATATATCAGTCTATATACTGTTAGTGATCAATATATCAGTGTATATGCTGTTAGTGTTCAATATATCAGTCTATATACTGTTAGTGATCAATATATCAGTGTATATGCTGTTAGTGTTCAATATATCAGTGTATATACTCTATGTTCTACTTGTAACACAGAACATTCAATCAATAATCTATAATCATTAAACAGTGTATAAACTCTATATGGAGCTCATTCAATCAATAATCTAAGAGAAGAAGAAAGGATGAAGTTGTTTAATATCTGAGCTTTAATATTGATTATCTGCTGATGCTGAGACTGATCAGATATCGTCCTAAATATTGATTAAATATCTGATGCACCTTGAGGTCCTGATTCTGATCACTTTAAATTCAATTGTTATGTTAGAGAATGAAACTGTACTGTACTGGTCCTCAGGTCAGGGGTCCCTGGACCTCTGGGAGGGTCCCTGGAGTCCAGATCAGACCTTGAGTTCAGTGATTTACTACGAATCAGCAGAGACACGTGATGTGACTCATCATGTTTAATTCAGTGAGATGTTCACATGTGAGAGGCAACCTGATCGGATCAGAGAGATGCTGTTCCCATGGGAACAGGAAGTGACATCAGCACACACGCAGACAGGATATATGCAGTGACATCTATAACCTGGTGGTGTGTGTGTGTGTGTGTGTGTGTGTGTGTGTGTGTGTGTATCCTTTCCGCTCATATTTCTGTTAAATATTCATGTATATTTCTTCATATAGATATTCTACATACAATCTGCTGCTGTGAGCAACCTGAATGCTGACATAATGTACACTCATAAACTCGTACAGTAAATATAAAAGCATATAAGTGCAGTGACTCTGCAGTACAATGATGTGCAGTGACTGCAGTAAATTGATGTGCAGTGACTCTGCAGTATAATGATGTGCAGTGACTGCAGTATAGTGATGTGCAGTATAATGATGTGCAGTGACTCTGCAGTATAATGATGTGATTTAAATGATTGCAGTGATCTGCAGTATAATGATGTGCAGTGACTCTGCAGTATAATGATGTGCAGTGACTCTGCAGTACAATGATGTGCAGTGACTCTGCAGTATAATGATGTGCAGTGACTCTGCAGTACAATGATGTGCAGTGACTCTGCAGTACAATGATGTGCAGTGACCCTGCAGTATAATGATGTGCAGTGACTCTGCAGTACAATGATGTGCAGTGACCCTAATGATGTGCAGTGACTCTGCAGTGCAATGATGTGCAGTGACTCTGCAGTATAATGATGTGCAGTGACTCTGCAGTACAATGATGTGCAGTGACTCTGCAGTATAATGATGTGCAGTGACTCTGCAGTACAATGATGTGCAGTGACTCTGCAGTACAATGATGTGCAGTGACCCTGATGTGCAGTGACTCTGCAGTGCAATGATGTGCAGTGACTCTGCAGTATAATGATGTGCAGTGACTCTGCAGTACAATGATGTGCAGTGACTCTGCAGTATAATGATGTGCAGTGACTCTGCAGTACAATGATGTGCAGTGACTCTGCAGTACAATGATGTGCAGTGACTCTGCAGTATAATGATGTGCAGTGACTCTGCAGTATAATGATGTGCAGTGACTCTGCAGTATAATGATGTGCAGTGACTCTGCAGTATAATGATGTGCAGTGACTCTGCAGTATAATGATGTGCAGTGACTCTGCAGTACAATGATGTGCAGTGACTCTGCAGTATAGTGATGTGCAGTATAATGATGTGCAGTGACTCTGCAGTACAATGATGTGCAGTGACTCTGCAGTATAATGATGTGCAGTGACTCTGCAGTACAATGATGTGCAGTGACCCTGATGTGCAGTGACTCTGCAGTGCAATGATGTGCAGTGACTCTGCAGTATAATGATGTACAGCAGTGATCCTCACTGTTTTTTTCACAAGAGCCACATTGGCAGAGCAAAATCAAGTGGAGAGCCACTTTTACGACAATCCGTCTATCCACTTCTCTTGAAATATGCTGTGCTCATCTTGTATGCCTCGTACCTTTCGTTTTTTACTGGGAACACCTGACTTTTGCCTGCTCGTCCCCTCTCCGGCGTCTTCATGCTGATTTTCCTTTGCTGCTTCCTCAGACTCTTTTTCCTCACTATTCGTTACAACGCTGTGTGTCTGTCCATCTGGTTTTTGTGCTGGTTTTTGCCCTTTTTTTTATTAGAAATCTATCCATTTTGTGGCTGCATCTCACGCTGGCTAGCGGAGCCAACATAACCTGGCTGCAAGCGTGCCCTGTGTAAACAATGCCATAAGCGGGCTGCGTTGCCAGGTTTGACAGTGCCCCCTTTAGGAAACACCATTAATTAAGGTGAATATAATGCAGATGTTTGCGTTTTTGTAGTGCAGTGTTCACTGTATATTTATGTAGCACATATGAAAAAATGTATTGGCTGTATTTCCATATTGTTATAAGCTACCATGCAAGCTACCAATTAAAGCTTGACAAGCCGCATGTGGCTCACGAGCCACGCAATGAGTATCTCTGATGTGCAGTGACTCTGCAGTATAATGATGTACAGTGACTGCAGTATAATTAAATTCAATTAAATTCACTTCAATTTTATTTGTATAGCGCCAATTCATAACAGAAGTTATCTCAGGACACTTTTCAAATAGAGCAGGTCTAGACCGAACTCTTTAAAACATTATTTACAGAGACCCAACAGTACCACCATGAGCAAGACCTTGGAGACAAGGGCAAGGAAACACTGCCTGTTAAAAGGCAGAAACCTAGGACAGATCCTCCGGCTCTAGGTGGGTGGTCGTCTGCCTCGACCAGTTGGGGTGAGAGACAGAGACAGAGACAGAGACAGACAGACAGACAGACAGACAGACAGACAGACAGACAGTTGCACAGCATCAACAGTAGCAACAACTACACTAATAGTATTGACTGATGATGATGAACATGACAACAGCAACGATGGGGGACAATGAGCAGTGACAACAGCAACAACAGTAACCATAGCAATAATAATACTTATGATAATAATAATAACACTAATATCAGTGATATTTCCAATGGCAGTCAAGCAGGACCATGGAAGGAGGCTCCACCAGGATCGATAAGAACCTGCGAGACGAGAAAGCACAAGAACTCCGGGGAAGAAGTGAAGTTAGTAACATGTATTAATGGGACATGAATGAGTGCAGAAAGAGAGAGGAAGAGAGGAGCTCAGTGCACCATGGGAAATCCCCCGATAGTCTAGGCCTATAGCAGCATAACTAAGGGATGGTTCAGGACTCACCTGATCCAGCCCTAACTATAAGCTTTATCAAAGAGGAATGTCTTAAGCCTACTCTTGAATGTGGTGAGGGTGTCTGCCTCCCAAACCACAACTGGAAGCTGGTTCCACAGGAGAGGAGCTTGGTAACTGAAGGCTCTGGCTCCTGTTCTACTTTTAGAGACTATAGGAACCACAAGTAGCCCAGCATTCAGAGAACGTAGTGTTCTAGTGGGGTAATAGGGTACTATGAGCTCTTTAAGATATGAAGGGGCCTGACCATGAAGAGCTTTATAGGTGAGGAGGAGGATTTTAAATTCTATTCTACATTTTACAGGGAGCCAATGCAGAGAAGCTAGTACAGGAGAGATGTGATCTCTTTTTCTAGTTGTTGCAGTAATCCAGCCTACAAGTAACAAATGCATGGATTAGTTTTTCTGCATCTGTCTGTGATAGGATGTGTCTAATTTTTGTAATATTACGTAAATGAAAGAAGGCAGTCCTAGAGGTCTGCTTCATGTGGGAATTAAATGACAAATCCTGATCAAAGATAACTCCAAGATTCCTGACAGTGGTGCTAGAGGCCAAGTTAATGCCATCTAGAGTAACTATATCTTTAGACAGTGAGTCTCTAAGGTTTTTGGGGCCAAGTACAAGAATTTTGTTTTTTTCTGAGTTTAACATTAGAAAATTGCAGCTAATCCGGGATATATAAAGTAAATAGTATTGGTCCAAGTACAGAACCTTGTGGAACTCCATGACTAACTGATGTATTTATTGCAACCTGACAGTCCAGAGTTGGGACCAGGAAGCAGAGCTGCTGTCTTACACACTTCTCTGCGCTGTTTTAGTTAATGAATTAATATCAGATTATGATATTGATTTACTTTGTCTTACTGAGACCTGGTTGTCCCACGAGGAGTATGTTAGCCTAAATGAATCCACCCCCCCCAGTCATATTAATACTCACATTCCTCGAGGCACAGGCCGAGGAGGTGGAGTAGCAGCCATATATGATTCGAGCGTTTTAATGGACCATAAACCTAAACTAAATTATAATTCATTTGAAAGCCTTGTTCTTAGTCTTTCTCACCAAAACTGGAAAACACTGCAGCCAGTTCTATTTGTTATAGTGTACCGCGCTCCTGGACCGTACTCTGATTTTATATCTGAATTTTCAGAGTTTTTATCAAGTTTAGTCCTTAAATCAGATAAAGTAATTATTGTAGGTGATTTTAATATTCATGTGGATGTTAACAATGACAGCCTTAGTAATGCATTTATATCATTAATAGACTCAATTGGCTTCTGTCAGAGTGTAAATAAACCAACTCATTGTTTTAATCACACTCTTGACCTTGTTTTATCATATGGCATTGATATTGAACATTTAATAGTCTTCCCACATAATCCTTTCCTATCTGACCATTATTTAATAACTTTTGAATTCATACTATTAGATTATAAGCCATTAGGCAAAACTTCCTACAGCAGATGTCTATCTGACAGTGCTGTAGCTAAATTTAAGGAGGAGATTCCTTCAGTGTTTAATTCAATGCCATGTCTGAATTTAACAGAATCCTATAATAACTTGCAGTGACTGCAGTATAATGATGTGCAGTGACTGCAGTATAATGATGTGCAGTGACTCTGCAGTATAATGATGTGCAGTATAATGATGTGCAGTGACTCTGCAGTATAATGATGTGCAGTGACTCTGCAGTATAATGATGTGCAGTGACTCTGCAGTATAATGATGTGCAGTGACTCTGCAGTATAATGATGTGCAGTGACTCTGCAGTATAATGATGTGCAGTGACTCTGCAGTATAATGATGTGCAGTGACTCTGCAGTATAATGATGTGCAGTGACTCTGCAGTATAATGATGTGCAGTGACTCTGCAGTATAATGATGTGCAGTGACTCTGCAGTATAATGATGTGCAGTGACTCTGCAGTATAATGATGTGCAGTGACTGTAGTATAATGATGTGCAGTGACTCTGCAGTATAATGATGTGCAGTGACTCTGCAGTATAATGATGTGCAGTGACTCTGCAGTATAATGATGTGCAGTGTGTGCAATGTGACTTTATAAATGAAAACACCAACCTCTAAATGTGGACTTTACACCATGACAACTGCACACCAGCCTCCTCTCCTTTTCCCTGATGTGACACAGAGGAGTTTATTGACTCCCTGGTTGCTGCCCTGCTCAGAGGCTCCTGGGCAGCGGCAGTTTGACAGCGAGCTACTCATTAGGGATTCACCACGCACTCCACCCCATCACCTTCACTGATCAATACCGGGGTGGGCCGTTTCCCACGATCCTCTGCTCTGCCCCACTGTGTGTGTGTCATTAGCATTGTTAGCATCAGACTGTAGCCCCCCCCCCCCATCAAGAAGTTATTGATTGTTGTCCTGAAGCTCCATCAGCTCATATCGACTTACAGGAGGCATGATGCTACTTCACCTTTCACAGGGTCGGGGGGGGGGATTATCATGAGCTGTGTTTTAATTAACACACAGTCAGAGTGCAGCACTGTGTTCACTCTGAGGTGTGAATATAATCGCTGTGTTGAAATGCTGAAGTGGCGGGATGATGGAGGTCAGAACGGAGGAGGAGGAGGAGGAGGAGGAGGAGGAGGAGGAGGAGGAGGAGGATCATCGATTGGTGGCAGCCTGTCCTGTCAGTTCGTCAGATCCCTGCAGATAAGTTCACGTCACCTTCTGTCTCACCTCAGAGACCTGAAGAATTTAACAAGAGTGACGACACAAGGACTTTGTCAGTCGTCCTGTTTATCAATCAAAAATCAGGACTTCCTGCTCTGTCAATAATTGATCGTCAATTTTTCCTTTCAGTTCTCCAATGAAGACAAAAAGCTTTAAGCTCTAAAGTGTCATATTTTAACATAAATGTGAAACTACAACAAACACACTGTTGGTCAGCACTTCCTGTCCAGCAGCTGTTTCACAATAAAAGCTTTCCATTGCTTCATGACTTTATTAAAATACAAATTAAAGCAGTAAAAGCAATCATTGATATGATCCAATGGAATTCATCTGAATAGACTGTGTGAAAGCAGTTTATTAATAATAATAATGTTGAACTGATCAAATGTCAGAAGCCTCAGTGATCAGAGTCTGCATTGATAATCATCTTATTGATCAGTTTTGACAATAACTGAACTGTGTTAAACACACACACACACACATACACACACTGCCCCAAAGGTGTGTGAGCCCAGAAGACGCATTAATTGATCGATGCTGCTGCTTCAGTGTGTGTGTGTGTGTGTGTGTGTGTGTGTGTGTGTGTGTGTGTGTGTGTGTGTGTGTGTGTGTGTGTGTGTGTGTGTGTGTGTGTCTCTCAAGATCAAGTTAAAATAAACTGTGTTTGCAGTAATGTGTAGAAGCTAATGTCGCTGAGGATGAGAACAAACACAAAACAAATGTTTATTAACCGGATGATGTAACAAAATAGTCTGTCTGTCTGTCAGGCGAGGAGTGTCAGCACTGGAGAACTGGCTGCCATCAAGGTCATCAAACTGGAACCTGGTAGGTAGCATCACTCATATTCACCTCACTGCATCAGTCAAATTATTCAAATATATATATTTCAACAGCCGCCTGTTAAACCATAAAGTTGTTTATGTTTTTATGCGACTATCAGACTTCTGAAAAGTGTCGACTGAGACTCTTCTTATTGACTCGGTTCAGTCGACTATTATGGGACAGCTCTAATAATTTCACAGTTTAATTTCACTGTCAAGATCTAAGATCCCGGACTGATTCAGTGTTTACTCAGTTGATATCATCACACGTACAACGTTATAACAACTGAACCACACGGCAGTGGCGCCGGGGGCAGTGGCGCCGGGGGCAGTGGCGCCGGGGTCAGTGGCGGAGGGGGCAGTGGCGGAGGGGGCAGTGGCGGAGGGGGCGGCGAGTGACGGAGGGGGCAGTGACGCTGGGGGCAGTAATGCTGGGGGGCAGTGATTGCGGTTGTTTTGCAGCTGATTGTTGGTGAACATCAGTGTGATGTAGAGAGCTGTTAGTCATCTTCATCATCTTCATCATCCTCTCCATTAATCGGAGCAGACAGACTGCAGCAGTCAGCAGGTGGTGTGTGTATCAGTGAATACTGATCAGGTGTTCATCATTCTGCAGGTGAACACAGTGGATCCTGCTGTCTTACTGATGTTTTAATTAACCTGCAGCAGCACACAGCGCCCCCCACAGGCTGCACACAGCGCCCCCCACAGGCTGGCACACAGCTCCCCCCACAGGCTGGCACACAGCTCCCCCCAAAGGCTGGACACAGCGCCCCCCACAGGCTGGACACAGGGCCCCCCACAGGCTGGACACAGGACCCCCCACAGGCTGCTAATTGATTAAATAGTAAAGTTAATTACAACAGCATCCTGACTCTATTTGTCCTCACTAAAGGTGGACTGGAGGTGAGGCTGCTCACTGTGGCAGTTGTTTTAAGGTGGACTGGAGATAAATAGATAAAAACTGATTATCTTGGTGAGTTTGTGTTGTTTTCTCCGCTGAGAGAGAAAATGTGACGGTGTTTGTGTTCCAGAGTGAGACCTCTCTCTCCTCAGCAGAGCTCCAGTTTTAATGAGATGTTACATAAATCCTCCATATTCTTATTATTCTGATCAGCTGGAGGACGGCGGAGGCTCTAATGAGGCCTGAAGCCTTCGGCAGCAACGAAGACTCTTTGTTCTCTCTGAGCGTTTATTCTCAGCTCTGACACCAGGAACACGTTCCTCCCTGGACAAAATAACAGAAACACCTCAGCTCTGTCTGCATACTGAGCAGCTGATGATGCTGTTGGTTTACCTGCTGAACAGGTGCTGAGTGCTACCTGTATGTCTGTCTGTCTGTCTGTCTGTCTGTCTAACTAACCCTCAGCCGATGCTGACTGTAGAGGAATCATTGATTACTGATATGTCAATAGGTGAGGACTTTGCGGTGGTGCAGCAGGAGATCCTGATGATGAAGGACTGTAAACACTCCAACATCGTGGCATACTACAGCAGCTACCTCCGGTAACTGTTACCATGACGACAACAACAGCAGAGTGTGTGGGGTGGGGGGGGGGGGGCAGTTTAAAGGATCATTTGTATCTATCAGACTTACTTATTGTGTGTGTGTGTGTGTGTGTGTGTGTGTGTGTGTGTGCGCAGCAGGGACAAGCTGTGGATCTGTATGGAGTTCTGTGGAGGAGGATCACTGCAGGACGTCTACCACAGTGAGACACACACACAGCAGATCAATTATCGGTCTTTATTAATCATAGTTTGATAGACTATGTTCTATAAAAGTACGTGTATGAAGTTTTAAACAAAGTTACTAGAAACAATAAATAAGACAAGATCGACTTCATTGATCCCACACTTGCTGCAGCAGCTGCAGATACAACAGATAGAGACTTCCAGTAAAAGCAGGGTCCCAAATAGAGACATGTCTCCTTTAAAAGCCTGCTAGGTTTCGTCTAACGGCATGTGGCATCAAAAGTCTGTCCATGAAAAAGAAACATCCTGAATCCTAAATCTAACTTCAGTGTACTTTCTCCAGTCGGCCCCAGACATCACGGCCCCTGACCCGTTTATCATTGTCATTATCATCATTATTATTATTCTAATTATTACTATTGTTATGAACGTCACAGGGTCTGATAACCGAACCAAATCCAGACATCTGAAACCACATACACATTTCATCACTAATAATCAAATATTAATCTTGTTCTGCAGTGTCTAAAAGTAAAGGACTATATTTTCTGCATAAGGAACCCTTTATGGCTACGTTCATCCTCGTCTCCATGGAAACAGTGAATAAACAAGGCTGCACAGATGCCGTTATAGCAAACATACTCTGTAACACATGTAAACAGTTGATTTATTTATTTACATAATCACAGTGAGATATTAGTACTCAATAGTCTGAACATGTAGGAACATAAAGCAAACATGAATAAAGAATTAATCAATATATACAGACAGTGACAGACCTCAGAGAATGTAATCAAAAACTCTGTTCAGTAATGAGGCGGCCATCTTTAAACCTTTAACTCTCCATCCGCCCTCAGTTGTCCCTGTCGCCATGACGACGCCCACGCTGCCTTCATTTCCCCGCTCGTTAGGGCTGCGGCGGGGGCGGTGGGAGCCGGGGGCGTCTTCAGCCAGCGTTAATGAGCGCTGAAACGCCACTCGGCTCCTTGCCTCATTAAACCTCAGTGACGCCGCCGAGGGTGACCACGGGCGCCTGCCTCCACCACACCGCCCCCCCGCTGGTCTGATATAACGCTCCCCCCCCCCACAGAGAGAGAGGACGGTGAGGGCAAGCGCCCTACAGACAGATAACTATTCAAACTGCTTTTAACTAGTTTGACTGAACATCTCTTTATGGCAGGGTTCCCGCGGGTCCTTAAAAAGTCTTAAAATGTCTTAAATTAAAATCCTGGTAATTAAGGTCTTAAATTTACCGCAAAGTTGCTGTAGGTATTACATTTTCAGCCGGTGCGCTTAATGACGATGGGAAAGCACAGTGGCCCACCGTAAAACATCTAATAGCTGATTAATTTAGTATGGTGTAAAATGAGAGTCTCCGCGATTAATAGCTGTTTTACGGTACGTCGGCTACAGACGCTGACGTCGGGCTGCGTGCCGACATTACGCGGTTGTTGAGGTGAGGTTTAAAATGCAAAGAAGATGGGGAAGTGCAAATTTAACGACAAGTGGATGGAAGAGGATGTATTTAGGAGGTGGTTAGCGCTGGCTGAAAACACAATGATGCAATGTATAAATTCTGCAAAAAGACTTTTTCATTAGGGACCATGGGGCTCAAAGCCGTCGAGTCATATATGAAAGGAGGAAAGCAGCAGCTAGCCATAGCGTGGCCAGGCTAATCCCTGCATTGTTTGCAGCACGACCTAACGACGTTACGAGTTCAGACGCCACCTCTTAGTCGGCTATAACAAGTTTCATTTCACCGCCAGACATCCAAAAGGCAGAGGTACTGTGGGTTCTCCATACTGTGACGAGGCACAATTCATTTAACTCTAACGAGGACATATGTGGCGTCTTTGCTGCCATGTTCCCCGATTCGCAGCTTGCAAAGGCATTCGCCTGTGGTGAAAATAAAACGGCATATGTCGCCAAATATGGCATTGCTTCATTCATCATCATCTGTTGGTAGATGTGGTTTATTTTGTTTAAATATGCCGAATTGTGATTTTATGGGTTGTTGAGCAAATGTAGCTGCTAATGTAGGCTGTCGTAGGCTTGCCATAGCCATAGTAAACATTCACATAAGGGTTAATGAGCTGTAAATAGAGATGCAGAATCAAGCTATGTTGTAAATACACATTAGATATGTTGTATTTTATCACAAAATACATGATTTTACCAGTTAGTAAACCTATAGAAAATAATTTGTTTAATTTGCAAAATGTACCATTAAATTTATTGGCCACATACATAGAAAGACCACAGTGACCATAGACTGATTTGAATAGAGCACATAACCAGTACTGTTACTATCTGCATAAAGTATTTTAATATCAAAGCTCACATTTTTAATGTACGAAGGTATCCTGTATAACTACGTCTGCCGTTTGTAATAAAACAAACCTGAATTGAATCCACTCAACACTGAATTAAATTCAGTGTCCCATATACCAATTATATAATGATTAACATTAATTATTGCATGTGTTTGTGTATGTTTGCGTTTTATTGTTGTTTAGGTGTATGTATTTGTGTGTGATTTTGTATTTGTATGTGTGTATGTACATATACGCAAAAAAACATTAAGTTTTGATTTCCATTGTAGGAGGCAATAAATTGAGTATTCCAAAGAAATTGTTATGACATTTTTGGGTCTTAAATTATATATATTGAGGTCTTAAAAAGGTCTTAAAAAGCATACAATTTTACTTTTAAAATGGTGCAAGAACCCTGTATGGTTACTGTCAGAGAGACCCCGCCCCCTCCCTGACCAAGTTTTCACCTGTTGTCTGAACACTCCCACACTAAACTGGTTCTGTTGTTTTGTCTTTCAGTAACTGGTCCACTGACTGAGTCCCAGATCGCGTACGTACTGAGGGAAACACTGCAGGTAACATCCAGGAATTCAACGATCAATACCAACCTGTTGAAAATCCCCGTTCAATACCAACCTGTTCACAATCACTGATCAATACCAACCTGTTCACAATCACTGATCAATACCACCTGTTCACAATCACCGATCAATACCAACCTGTTGACCATCACGATCAATACCAACCCGTTCACAATCACCGATCAATACCAACCTGTTGACCATCACGATCAATACCAACCCGTTGACAATCACCGATCAATACCAACCTGTTGACCATCACCGATCAATACCAACCCGTTGACAATCACCGATCAATACCAACCTGTTGACCATCACGATCAATACCAACCTGTTGACAATCACCGATCAATACCAACCTGTTGACCATCACGATCAATACCAACCTGTTGACAATCACCGATCAATACCAACCTGTTGACCATCACGATCAATACCAACCTGTTGACCATCACGATCAATACCAACCCATTGACAATCACCGATCAATACCAACCTGTTGACCATCACCGATCAATACCAACCCGTTGACAATCACTGATCAATACCAACCTGTTCACAATCACCAATCAATACCAACCTGTTCACAATCACCAATCAATACCAACCTGTTCACAATTGCCTTTAATGTGTAGTGAGTTGTTTCTATGACCTCTGATCAGTTTCTAGTATCATATGCAAAGTGCTCTATAAATAAACGATATTATCCTTATTATATTATTATTGTTATTATTTTTGTTATTATTATTATTATTATTATAATTATTATTGTTGTTGTTGTTGGGTTGTTGTTGTTATTAACGTCCAGTCAGATTGTAATGCTGTGTGTGTGTGTTTGTCTCCTGCAGGGACTCTTCTACCTGCACAGCAGAGGGAAGATGCACAGAGACATTAAGGTCTGTCTAAACTTTTTAATGCTAATGTTGGACAAACTGAGCAGCTGTCCTAACACACCTGAATACACCTGAATCCACCTGAACATACCTGAATACACCTGACAAAACCTGAATACGCCTGAATAAACCTGAACATACCTTAATACGCCTGAATACACCTGAATACACCTGAACATACTGAATACACCTGAATAAACCTGAATACACCTGAATACACCTGAATGCACCTGAATACACCTGAACATACTGAATACACCTGAATAAACCTGACCATACCTGAATACACCTGAACACACCTGAATACACCTGAATACACCTGAACATACTGAACATACTGAACATACCTGAACATACCTGAATAAACCTGAATAAACCTGAATAAACCTGAATACACCTGAATACACCTGAATACACCTGAACATACTGAATACACCTGAATAAACCTGACCATACCTGAATACACCTGAACACACCTGAATACACCTAAATACCAAGTGTCTGAGGGGATCACACTGGAGTTCGGTCTAGACCTGCTCTATTTGAAAAGTTTCCTGAGATAACTTCTGTTATGAATTGACGCTATTTCTCAGGACACTTTTCAAATAGAGCAGGTCTAGACCGAGCTCCTTATAACATTTACAGAGACCCAACAGTACCACCATGAGCAAGCACTTGGCGACAGGGGCAAGGAGAAACTGCCTGTTAAGAGGCAGAAACCTAGGACAGATCCTCCGGCTCTAGGTGGGTTGTCGTCTGCCTCGACCAGTTGGGGTGAGAGAGAGAGAGACAGACAGAGACAGACAGACAGCAACAACAGTAGCAACAACTACACTAATAGTAGTGACTGATGATGATGAAGATGATGACGACGACAGCAACGATGGGGGACAATGAGCAGTGACAATAGTAATAATAGTAACTGTAGTAATATTAATAATATTTTTTTAAAGGGTTTTATGTCCTTAAAACATGTTTGTAATTTACATAATTGGTTAATTTCATCGGGCTTGATCGATGGATATAACTGTGTATCATCTGCATAACGACGGAAGATAATGAATTCCTAATAATGTTGCCTAAGGGAAGCATATATAAAGTAAATAGTATTGGTCCAAGTACAGAACCTTGTGGAACTCCATGACTAACTGTAGTATTTAGATTTAGGATTCATCGTTAACGTGTACAAACTGAGAACGATCTGATAAGTATGACTTAAACCAGCTCAGTGCGGTTCCTTTAAGTATATATATATATGATATGATAATATATATCACATACAGTTAAATATATATAATATACAGTTAAATATATATCACAAACAGTTAAATATATATCACAAACAGTTAAATATATATCACATACAGTTAAATATATATCACATATAGATAAATATATCTCACATACATATAAATATATATAATATACAGTTAAATATAGGTCACATACAGTTAAATATAACTATATGTGTTAAAGCGTTTGTTTGTCTACAGGGAGCGAACATCCTGCTGACCGACAACGGATACGTCAAACTGGGTAAGTCATCCACAGGCTCCGCCTACTGTGCATTTAAAGGGGCGGGGCCTATGAATGCATGCAGACATTGTACACTGTAACACACTGTAACACACACACACACTATAACACACTGTAACACACACACACAAACACACACACTGTAACACACTGTAACACGCTGTAACACACTGTAACAGACACACACTGTAACACACACACACACACACTGTAACACGCTGTAACACACTGTAACACACACACACATACACACACTGTAACACACACACACACACACACACAGACACACACTGTAACACACACACACACACACACACACACTGTAACACGCTGTAACACACTGTAACACACACACACACACTGTAACACGCTGTAACACACTGTAACACACACACACACAAACACACACACTGTAACACGCTGTAACACGCTGTAACACACTGTAACAGACACACACTGTAACACACTGTAACACACACACACTGTAACACGCTGTAACACACTGTAACACACACACACATACACACATTGTAACACACACACACACACACTGTAACACGCTGTAACACACTGTAACACACACACACACACTGTAACACACACACACTGTAACACACCCCTCTACTACAAACGTATTATTAAATAAAACTTATAATATTGTTATTTGTTGGCAGCGGACTTTGGTGTGTCAGCTCAGATCACTATGACCATCGCTAAGAGGAAATCCTTCATCGGGACTCCATACTGGTACCAACCTTTCTCACCTCCTCTCTCCTCCCTCCTCTCTCACCTCTCTCACCTCCTCTCTCTCCTCTCTCACCTCCTCTCTCTCCTCTGTCACCTCCTCTCTCTCCTCTGTCACCTCCTCTCTCCTCTGTCACCTCCGCTCTCCTTTCTCACCTCCTCTCTCCTCTCTCCTTTCTTCTCTCCTCTCCTCTTCTCTTCTCTCTTCTCTCCTCTCTCACCTCCTCTCTCCTTTCTCACCTCCTCTCTCCTTTCCTCTCTCCTCTCTCACCACCTCTCTCACCTCTTAATTCCTCCCATCTGAGATATGAGTAGAGGAGGTGGGGAGGGAAACAAGGAGAGAGGAGCGGAACAGTCAGGTCCTCGCTCCTTGCTCCTCCAGGTGCATTTTGGGAATTGAGACGTCCTTAAAGCTGGCGTGCTGAGATTGATTCCCGGTTCACAGGCAGGAGGACAGAGGAGAGAGGAGACAAGGAGTTCAGTTGTCTCCATGGTGACGCTGAGGTCAGCCGCCATTGGTCTTTTCCCTCCTGTTGATGTGGAGTCACAGGGTGAAGGGTTGATTATGAGGATGATGAAGATGCAGCTTCCTGTTTGTTGTTGCTGTGATTAGTTGTTTGGTGGTGACCGGCAGCTCATCGGGCTCTGCAATTGGCCGACTCTGAGCTGAGGTGGGTTGTTGTTGCAGGATGGCTCCAGAGGTGGCGGCGGTGGAGAGAAAGGGCGGATACAACCAGCTGTGTGACATCTGGGCCGTCGGCATCACCGCCATCGAACTGGCAGAGCTGCAGCCACCGATGTTCGACCTCCACCCCATGAGGTGTGTGTTTGTGTGTTACTGTGTGTGTTACTGTGTGTGTTACTGTGTGTGTGTTACTGTGTGTGTTACTGTGTGTGTGTTACTGTGTGTGTTACTGCGTGTGTGTTACTGTGTGTGTTACAGTGTGTGTGTTAATGTGTGTTATAGTGTGTGTGTTACTGTGTGTGTGTTACTGTGTTACTGTGTGTGTGTGTGTGTTACAGTGTGTGTGTGTGTGTGTGTGTTACTGTGTGTTACTGTGTGTTACTGTGTGTGTTACAGTGTGTTACAGTGTGTGTGTGTGTGTGTGTGTGTGTGTGTGTGTGTTACTGTCTGTGTGTGTGTATGTTACTGTGTGTGTGTTACTGTGTTACTGTTACAGTCTGTAGTCCGTCCCTCTGTCCATCTTCAGACCTCCATTCAGAGGAGAAGTCAGCAGCAGAATGATGATGTCACTTTAGCTCCACTAACGAGGTTCATCGTTAACACAGTGACTCATTATGTCTTTCTCTTTGTCAGAGCTCTGCTGCTGATGACCAAAAGTAATTTTCAGCCACCCAAACTGAAAGACAAGGTGAAGTGGTGAGTATCTGTCTGTCTGTCTGTCTGTCTGTCTATGGAAACAGTGATGTAATATTTATGCTTCCAATCAAGCAGCTGCTGAATTATTAACTTCAGTGAACCAGGTACTGTTAATGAAGAGAATATTTTCTTTGAATGTCAGCTGGAGCTAAAGAAGGCAGAGCAGCGACGTGAGCAACAGACTGATGGCGATTTTAATACATCAGCACTGGAACAGTAAATAAAAACTGGAACAATAAAGGCTGGAACAGTAAATAAAAGCTGGAATAGTAAATAAAGACTGGAACAGTAAATAAAGACAAACAGTAAATAAAGACTGTAAATAAAAGCTGGAACAGTAAATAAAAGCTGGAACAGTAAATAAAGGCTGGAACAGTAAATAAAGACTGAAACAGTAAATAAAGATTGTAAATAAAAACTGGAACAATAAAGGCTGGAACAGTAAATAAAAACTGGAACAATAAAGGCTGGAACGGTAAATAAAAGCTGGAACAGTAAATAAAGGCTGGAACAGTAAATAAAGACTGAAACAGTAAATAAAGACTGTAAATAAAAACTGGAACAATAAAGGCTGGAACAGTAAATAAAAGCTGGAACAGTAAATAAAGGCTGGAACAGTAAATAAAGGCTGTAAATAAAGACTGGAACAGTAAATAAAGACTGGAACAGTAAATAAAGGCTGGAACAGTAAATAAAGGCTGTAAATAAAGGCTGAAACAGTAAATAAAGACTGTAAATAAAAACTGGAACAATAAAGGCTGGAACAGTAAATAAAGGCTGGAACATTAAATAAAGGCTGGTACAGTAAATAAAGGCTGGAACAGTAAATAAAGACTAAATAAAAACTGGAACAATAAAGGCTGGAACAGTAAATAAAGGCTGTAAAAAAAAACTGGAACAATAAATAAAGGCTGGAACAGTAAATAAAGGCTGGATCAGTAAATAAAGACTGGAACAGTAAATAAGGGCTGGATCAGTAAATAAAGACTGGAACAGTAAATAAAGACTGGAACAGTAAATAAAGGCTGGCACAGTATGTAAAGAATGGAACAGTAAATAAAGACTGTAAATAAAAACTGGAACAATGAATAAAGGCTGGAACAGTAAATAAAGGCTGTAAATACAGACTGGAACAGTAAATAAAGACTATAAATAAAAACTGGAACAATAAATAAAGGCTGTGAATAAAGACTGGAACAGTAAATAAAGACTGTAAATAAAGGCTGGAACAGTAAATAAAGACTGTAAATAAAGGCTGGAACAGCAAATAAAGACTGGAACAGTAAATCAAGGCTTGAACAGTAAATAAAGACTGTAAATAAAAACTGGAACAGTACATACAGGCTGTAAATAAAGGCTGGAACAGTAAATGAAAGGCTGGCACAGTAAATAAAGGCTGTCAATGAAGACTGTAACAGTAAATAAAGAATGGAACAGTAAATAAAGGCTGGCACAGTACACAAAGGCTGGAACAGTAAATAAAGACTGTAAATAAAAACGAGCAATAAATAAAGGCTGGAACAATAAATAAAGGCTGGATCAGCAAATAAAGACTGGAACAGTAAATAAAGGCTGGCACAGTACATAAAGGCTGGAACAGTAAATAAAGACTGTCAATAAAAACTGGAACAATAAATAAAGGCTGGTACAGTAAATAAAGGCTGATAATAAAGACTGGAACAGTAAATAAAGACTGTAAATAAAAACTGGAACAATAAATAAAGACTGTAAATAAAGACTGGAACGGTAAATAAAGACTGTAAATAAAGGCTGGAACAGTAAATAAATACTGGAACAGTTAATTAAGGCTGGAACAGTACATAAAGGCTGGAACAGTAAATAAAGACTGTAAATAAAAACTGGAACAGTACATACAGGCTGTAAATTAAAGCTGGAACAGTATATAAAGGCTGGATCAGTAAATAAAGACTGGAACAGTAAATTAAGGCTGGAACATTAAATAAAGACTGGAACAGTAAATAAAGACTGGAACAGTAAATAAAGGCTGGCACAGTACATAAAGGCTGGAACAGTTAATACAGACCTGCACAGTAAATACAGACCTGCACAGTACATAAAGGCTGGAACAGTAAATACAGGCTGCAAATTAAGGCTGGAACAGTACATACAGGTTGTAAATTAGGACTGGAACAGTAAATAAAGACTGTAAATAAAAACTGGAACAATAAATAAAGGCTGGATCAGTAAATAAAGACTGGAACAGTAAATAATGGCTGTAAATAAAAACTGGAACAATAAATAAAGGCTGGAACAGTAAATAAAGGCTGGAACAGTAAATAAAGGCTGGAACAGTAAATAAAGGCTGTAAATAAAGACTGGAAAAGTAAATAAAGACTGTAAATAAAAACTGGAACAATAAATAAAGGCTGGAACGTAAATAAAGGCTGTAAATAAAGACTGGAACAGTAAATAAAGACTGTAAATAAAGGCTGGAAAAGTGAATAAAAACTGGAACAGTAATTAAGGGCTCGAACAGTAAATAAAGACTGCAAATAAAAACTGGAACAATAAATAAAGGCTGGATCAGTAAATAAAGACTGGAACAGTAAATAAATGCTGGAACAGTAAATAAAGACTGGAACAGTAAATAAATGCTGGAACAGTAAATAAAGACTGGAACAGTAAATAAATGCTGGAACAGTAAATACAGGCTATAAATAAAGACTGTAACAGTAAATAAAGACTGGAACAGTGAGTTAGAGGAACGGTACCGCACCACGGAGATATCTTTAGCCGCTATAGTTAGCCAGCCCCCAGTAGCCGGTGCCGTCCGACCGAAGGTAGCTTCTGTTAGCCGTCCCCCGGTAGTTCCTCCGGTAGTTCCCCCGGTAGTTCCCGAGCAGCCAGGAAGACAGGGAGGCTGGGTGACTGAGCGAAGGAAGACTAAAACACCGAAGCCCACAGGTCACCACCAACCCATTCATGTTTCTAATACATTTTCCCCACTCAGTGACACACCCGCTGAGGAACCAACTCTGATTATTGGCAGCTCCATAGTCAGAAACGTGAAGTTAGCGAAGCCAGCGGCCATAGTTAAATGCATCCCTGGGGCCAGAGCGGGCGACATTGAATCATATTTAAAACTGCTGGCTTAAGATAATCGTAAATATGGTAAGATTGTTATCCACGTCGGCGGTAATGACACCCGTTTACGCCAATCGGAGGTCACTAAAATTAATGTGGAGTCGGTGTGTAATTATGCTAAAACTATGTCGGACTCCGTAGTTCTCTCTGGACCCCTGCCCAATGTGACCAGTGATGACATGTATAGCCGCATGTCGTCATTCCACCGCTGGATGTCGAGGTGGTGTCCAGAAAACGATGTGGGCTTCATTGATAACTAGAAGCCTTTTGGGGGAAAACCTGGTCTGATTAGGAGAGACAGCATCCATCCCACTTTGGATGGAGCGGCTCTCTTATCTAGAAATATGGGGACGTTTATTTCTAAAACCTGACAGTCCAGAGTTGGGACCAGGAAGCAGAGCTGCTGTCTTACACACTTCTCTGCTCTTCCATTAGTACAGTCACCCACCCAAAACCCCATAGAGACTGTGTCTGTCCCCCGACCACCTAAATTATTTAAAGAAATAAAAACAAGAGGAGTTCAACATAAAAATCTAATATAAATTAAAACCACCTCCTCAGTAGCACAAAATAAGAGAATGAAATGTGGGCTGTTAAATATCAGGTCTCTGTCCTCTAAAGCTCGTTGTCCCACGAGGAGTATGTTAGCCTAAATGAATCCACCCCCCCAGTCATATTAATACTCACATTCCTCGAGGCACTGGCCGAGGAGGTGGAGTAGCAGCCATATATGATTCGAGCGCTTTAATGGACCTTAAACCTAAACTAAATTATAATTCATTTGAAAGCCTTGTTCTTAGTCTTTCTCACCCAAACTGGAAAACACTGCAGCCAGTTCTATTTGTTATAGTGTACCGCGCTCCTGGATGATTCAGTGTCGCCCGCTCTGGCCCCAGGGATGCATCCACAGTACATAAAGGCTGGAGCAGTAAATAAAGACTGTAAATAAAAACTGGAACAATAAAGGCTGGAACAGTAAATAAAGGCTGTAAATAAAGACTGTAACAGTAAATAAAGGCTGTAAATAAAGACTGTAACAGTAAATAAAGACTGGAACAGTAAATTAAGGCTGTAACATTAAATACAGGCTGGAACAGTAAATAAAGGCTGGAACAGTAAATTAAGGCTGGAACATTAAATACAGGCTGGAACAGTACATAAAGGCTGGAACAGTAAATAAAGGCTGGAACAGTAAATACAGGCTGTAAATGAAGACTGGAACAGTACATACAGGTTGTAAATTAAGACTGGAACAGTACATACAGGTTGTAAATTAAGACTGGATCAGTAAATGAAGACTGGAACAGTAAATAAAGGCTGTAAATAAAGACTGGAACAGTAAATAAAGGCTGGAAAAGTGAATAAAGACTGGAACCGTAATTAAGGGCTAGAACAGTAAATAAAGACTGTAAATAAAGGCTGGATCAGTAAATAAAGGCTGGATCAGTAAATAAAGGCTGGAACAGTACATAAAGGCTGGAACAGTAAATAAAGGCTGGAACATTAAATACAGGCTGGAACAGTACATAAAGGCTGGAACAGTAAATAAAGGCTGGAACAGTAAATACAGGCTGTAAATTAAGACTGGAACAGTACATACAGGTTGTAAATTAAGACTGGAACAGTAAATGAAGACTGGAACAGTAAATAAAGGCTGTAAATAAAGACTGGAACAGTAAATAAAGGCTGGAAAAGTGAATAAAGACTGGAACCGTAATTAAGGGCTAGAACAGTAAATAAAGACTGTAAATAAAGGCTGGATCGTTAAATAAAGGCTGGATCAGTAAATAAAGGCTGGAACAGTAAATAAAGGCTGTAAATAAAATCTGGAACAATAAATAAAGGCTGGAACAGTTGATAAAGGCTGTAAATAAAGATGATAATTGCAGTTTATTTAATTTCCTCCGTGAGGCTTTCCGAGTTTAGTCTGCGTTTGTGTCTCTGTAGGTCAGGAAACTTCCATCAGTTTGTAAAAATCGCTCTGACCAAGAACCCCAAGAAACGACCTGCAGCTGACAAACTACTGCAGGTAATGTACCATAATGATGATGATGATGATGAGATCTGCTTCCACATGTCCCAACTGTGGATGAATTAATCCTGTCTTTCTGGAAACTGCTCATTAAAAGTAGTTGACGCAGTTTTCTGTCCCCCCCAGCACCCGTTTGTCTCTCAGCCCCTCAGTCGTACTCTAGCTATGGAGCTGCTGGATAAAGTCAGTAACCCGGACCAGATTTCCTACCAGGACCAACTGGACCACCTGGATGATGACGAAACTGACACAGAGGTATGGAGGAAGGGGGCTCAAGGACTCAAGTGTCCAGATATGTTGTGTTAGTCGGTATTTGTTGGTCTTTCTTCATGCTTACTATTTTTCACATTTCTGGTATTGGGAATATAAAGAGTTCCACCTGCTTTAAGGTTATAAACGAGGTATGGAACATTAAGAACCAGGTTCTGTCGGAGGTTTTTGCCTCTTAATAGGAGGTTTTTCCTTGCCGCTATCTCCTAGGTCTTGCTCATGGTGGGAACTGTTCGGTCTCTGTAAATAATCTTACAAAGAGTTCTGTCTAGACCTGCTCTATTTGAAAAGTGTCCTGAGATAACTTCTGTTATGAATTGGCGCTATACAAATAAAATTGAATTGAATTGAATAGAGATGCAGCTACATGACAACTACTGGCAATATGTTATGTAGCTGTTGCAGGGGTGCCAGTCGGACTCAGTCTGACAAATAATTATTAGTAATTTTATATTTTTATATTGCAAGCAGCAAACCCTACTGATAAACACTGATTTATTTTTATATATTCTGTCTGGTTTTATTAATCTCTGTCTGGTTTTAGTATGTTCTGTCTGGTTTTAGTAGACTCTTATTCTGAAAGGTGCCAGTGTGACTGATGTAACACATGTTAGCTACAGAAACATCTTCTATTTGTATTTGCACATGTGCCTGTATGATGACTGTGTCCTCCTGCAGTGCAGTGGACTGTCTCTTTAATGTAAAATCCTCCGTCTGATGAAACCCTGATGGAACTGATGGTGGAAACGTTTAACATTCAGCTCAGATCAAACTGAGAGCTGCAGTTTGGGTTTCAGCTGCATAAGAAAAAAAAGATGAATCATTAAACATTTTAAAACTGAAACTGTCACTCTACAAAATGATCGACACATCAGTGATGCTTTAGAAGCTCTCAGGGATTCAACAGGAACTGATCACAGGTCAGGGAATTAAATGTCTGGCTGATGAACTCTTCAGAAGTGTCTATGTTCAGCAGATTGTTTAAGAGAGTTGAAGTAGGGCTGGGCGATATGGACCAAAAGTCATATCCCGATATATTTAAGCTGAATATTGATATACGATATATATCTATATTTTTTTTTTTTTACCGCAAAGTGAGAGCAAGTGTTCAGTCTCTCTCTCTCTCTCTCTCTGTCTCTCTCTCTCTGTCTCTCTCTCTCTCAGTTCAAATTCAAATTAAAATGGGCTTTATTGGCATGAAAGTTTTTTTTAAAAAAAACAATATTGCCAAAGCAAAGCATCAAAATACAATTAGTCGAAATATTCAGACAATACACAATATGAAAGATATATACATTATGAACATTATATTAGTTATATACAGTGTGTGTGTGTGTGTCTCTCTTTCTCTCTCTCTCTCTCTCTCACACACACACATACACAGACACACTTACACACACACGTTGTGACCTGAAGTTAGGCTGCATTATAACTTTTAAATTAATATTTCCAGAAGGCAGTAAGGCTTTTACCACTCACCAAAACTGCTACCGTTATTACACAAGCAAGTACAATTACGGTAAGACAACATAACGTAAGTTAACGCTGTTACTGAGCTGTACATTAGTTAAGTGTCTGTAACGTTGGTAACATGATGTTAATGGTATGATAAAGATTTGCTGCCTGTAAACAGAACAAGCAACCCACCCCGACTAAAACCACACTCAATATTAACGTTGTGTTTTAACAAGCTAACGTTAGCATGTTAAGTTACCTGTAACATCAGTTAATTACTCAGCAGTTAGCTAACCTAACAGTCTGACAACGTTACAGTCTAAATTATGGATATGAACACAAACATTACGTTAGGTTATTGAAAGAGGAGGGGGTGGCGGGGGCACGGGGAGCTCCGGGTCAGCAGCTTGCTTGGAGCAATGATCACAGCGCAAATTTGAACTATATCGATATATGCGATATGGTCTAATTCCATATCACATTTTAAAATATATCGATATAGTTTTTATATCGATATATCGCCCAGCCCTAAGTTGAAGCTGTTGCTGCTGGTGATGATGGTGATGGTTCACTGTGAGCACAGATACATACTGTAGTAAAAGGTGAGGTTATTAACAGTGGCTGACAGGTAAACAGACCTCGACCTGCTCTCAACCCCCCCGACAGGGCTTTTCATTGTCTGCTGACTGAAGGACGACGCTCACACTCCTTTTAGTATCTGCAGCTGTCACTTTATATGTTAGTGTGCTGTTTAATGTGAAGTGTCCTCTGCTGCGGGGACAAGGACACTCTGAATAAATCATCTCTATACTGTCCAACAGCCAATACTCTACAACTAGACCTTTGCTGCAAGTCACACCACCTTCTGCTCTGTCTTTCTTGCATAGACTGTATATAAGGATGGACAGCACTTCCCTACTTCCTCCCACTGTGCAAAAATGAAGCCAAAATATAGCCACTAGCAGCCACTCCAGACACAGACAACACAGACTGTTACGAACACACACGGTTCATCTGTTGTTATAAACATATCCTGTGAGTTTTATGAGGATTGAAAAACAGTTGTTTTTAGTCTGATTGTTATAATACCAGGCCCAGTGTTCTGCCTTTGCAGCGCCCCCTAGTAGCGGATTTGTGTGTGTTTCAGGTCCTTATATGAACATATCCTGTGAGTTTTATGGTGATCGGCCCAACTGTTGTTGACTTAGGTCTGTTTATGTGCTGAACCATGCCGCTTGTGAAGCTCATTGGTCAATATCATGAAAACTGAATAATATATCATTAAACCATATGCAAATGTTGATCAGCTTCATCCAGTGATGATCCACAGAAGATCTGGGAGCAATCTGAGCTACGCTTTTGGAAGCGAGGAAGTCAGCCGTTTTGAATTTAATGCTCCAGTGTGTAACATTACTGTAATATAATAGGCGTTTATATCTACAGACTCTTCCGGCAGAGTCGACCATGTTAAATCGCCATGTTTCTACAGTGCCCAGAACGGACAAATAGTCCCAGTATATTTCACAGCCACTGTAATTTCTCCCTTGCACTTGGAAATGGTTAGTGTGTTAGAGTTTCAATCTGAAACTACATTGCTAGATGGCACTAAACCCTACACACTGGATCTTAATTTTTGTCTGTCTGTCTGCAGGTTGTCTCTGTCCCTCAGAGGATCCCGTCTGGAAACACCAGAGAAGGAAAAACTCTGTCTGAGATCAACTGTGAGTTTACATATCTGCCTGATGATGATGGTGATTGTGATGATGGTGATGATGACGATTATGGTGATGATGATGATTATGGTGATGATGACGATTATGGTGATGATGATGGTGATGGTGATAATGATAATGATAATGATAATGATAATGATGATGGTGATGATGATGGTGATGATGGTTTTTCAGTTGATCAGATGAAGTTTGATCCTCCTCTGAGGAAAGAGACTGAAGCTCATCGTGAAGAGGTACATACACACATTACACACACTGTGCCCTATATGAATTTATGAAGAGAAACAACAACAACAACAACAACTAGATTGGACTTCACTAAAACTTATGAAATAAAGTTAATATTAATAATATCATTATTGTTATTGTTACTATTATATGAATCAAATAGACAGTACAGACCTCTGACCTATATCTGGAGCACTGACCTATGCCCTGTGTGTACAGCACGGACCTCTATCTTGTGTAAACTAGTATTATTGTGGAGCTATAAATAAAATGTTTAAAATGTTACACACACATGCAACGTGGCTTTAAGTACAACATTCCCAAATTTAGTTGGAAGAGTTATGGCCCGTTAAGTGCATTGGACCCCACCTTCAAGATTTCGGTAACCAATTACAGACAAACAATTAGTGTTTGTTAAACACAAACACAAACTTATAAGTAATGGTCGGCTTCGTCTACATATACTATGTACTGATTTTGGTGAAGATTAGATGAAATACTGTGCGTACAGTACTAATTAAATGTATAGTTTATTGTTACAGCTTGGTAGCATTTGAATCACAACTTGTGGAGATAAAAATGTTAATTTATTATATTGAGGGATGGACTTTTGAATAGACTATAGGTTGCAGTGAGGAAAACCTTTGTCACAATTCAGTTTTTAAAGTTTTGGAATTTCAAACGCTTAATAACTGACCACATGATGGCGTTATTGAATACATGCTTTAATATGTTTAGCACATCTCCATGAGGCACCTGTGTACCAGGTTTGATGACTTTAGCATGTATAGTATTTGAGATTCTGATATTTAATAATTCATATCTCAATAACTTTAACAGATATCAAAACGAAAATAAATCACCGGAATGAGAGTGATAAGCTTTATATGTCAAAATTTGAATTATGTCTATTCTATCTGCAAAAATGTGCGAGTTATAACGGCCCAATAAACGTACGGAAGCAGAAAAAGAATAATGAGCTTAATAAAGACTGGAGATGACAATGTGTGATTGCTTGCACACTCACACAAGAATAACAGTAACAACAGGAAGATGAAGAGGTCAGTGGTGTGTTCAGGTTCAGGTTCATGTTTTGTTTTTTTCACTTTATAGTCTGACTCGGACCGTTTCCTGGACTGTGAGGAGGAGCTGTACTACACCGCCAGATCCAACCTGGTATTTACCTCCACCTGATACACACACAATGGGGCTAATGCTAACAGGCTAACTGATTTAATTATTATTACAGTACATCTAAGTGACTAGCCAGCCTAACAACATACTAACTCATAGTACTCTTTTCCATTGTTATTGTTTTCTTCTTCTTCCTGTCTCCACCTGGATGATGTCACTTCCTGCTCTGCTACTACTGGTTGGTCTTAATTAGTCTGTGATTTAGTCCCGTCAGCTGTGTAGAGGTGTGTCAGTGTTTCCACTAGAACCAGTTTGACCAGTTTGTCAGTTTCCAACAGATTCAAACAGAACAAAGAAGTCTTTAGTTTCTGTTTGTTTACAACAATCAGCTGATCCATAAAAACATGACAACATGTTTATATGGAGTGTGCGTGTGTGTGTGTGTGTGTGTGTGTGTGTGAGCTGCAGTGAGGTAGAGTGTGAACTGATGAAAATGTGGAGGTAGATGATGGCGAGTAGTGCAGCAGTGTGTGTTTTGGTCCGTTGGGACTTTTAGTTGCTGAGTCAGCGCCAAAGCTCTGCTGACCAATCAGCTGCCTCCATATCTGCTGTGGAGAAACCTCCCAACAGGAGGAGGAGGAGGAGGAGGAGGATGGAATAAATGTGAGAGCTAATCAGTCTCTGCTGTCTGGCGCCTCCTGCAGGAGCTACAGATGGAGGATGAAGTTGCTGCTGCAGGATCAGGATCAGGATCAGGATCAGGATCAGGGTCAGGGTCAGGACCAGAATCCATCCTCAGTGAAAACAGGTGAGATCACTCTTATTGTCATCAAATCAATATATAATAATCAGTAATATTGTCAACAAATCAATATATAATAATCAATATGTCATCAAATCAATATATAATAATAATAATATGTGAGTAGAATCTCAGTGAACTTAGCCGTTAGCCATTAGCTGTTAGCGACCTAGCAACAGACACACTGACAGCAGGAGGTTGTCCATCAGATGTGTTAACTTAGGATCTGACTAGATATATTTAGCTAGTTAGCTACTTTAGCTTTTAACATTAGCTAACTTAAGATGTGACTCCCATGAAACTTCCAGTAAAAGCAGGGTCCCTAAGAGAAGCCTGTCTCCTTTGAAAGCCTGCTGTGGCTCCACGTTCTGACAAACAAAGGCAGGTCTCCAATAGAGGCCGGTGGATTGTATAATATGATCTGGATGTATAAAACTTCTTAAACCCAGCGGGTAGCTGCTTCAAGCCGTTTGGATCTACACAGATATAATGTTTAACCTTCTGTCAGTATGATGCTGCACATCGTTGGATCACTTCAATACTTCATTTTACTGAAACTATAAACATTAAAGTTTAATGTTCATTCATTCAGACTCGCTGTAAACAAGAGACCAGATCATAAAGTCCTCCATTATTTATATTCCTTTAGTTCGTCAGGGTCCAACAGAACAAAGTGTTTCATTAAATGAATCCCAGCTCAGAACATTATCATGTGCAGTCTGTTGCTTACTGTCTGTTCACTGTCTGTAAGCCCGCTGCCGGAAATCTTCAGCTGCTGTAAAACCACGTTCACGTTCAGTGTCATGGTGGCGGCACAGAAAAAAAAGTACAACCTGAAATGTTACCTGTTAGTCGTCAAATTTACTGAACAAACTGAAGTGAAATCAACAGTTAGAAAGAATTTCCATCTGTGCTGAAGGAGTTAAAGGCCCCAATAAAGGCCTGTCCCCAATAAAGGCCTGTCCCAAATACAGGCATGTCCCCAATAAAGGCCAGGGGATTCAGTGATTGAAGATTAACTAGCGGTTTACTAACATTAGCTAACTCAGGATGTGAATATATATTTATATATGTGATTGGAGCACATAGTAAAAGACATAGTAAAAGGGGGCGGGGCTTAGGCAGGGTCAATTGTAAATATGTGTACATACAAAATAAATATATAAAGCAACAGTGATTGTAGAGGAAACATTCACACAATTATGTGCCTGCAAACAAATAACTTCTTCTTATTATATTTATGATTATTACTTATTATATTTCAGTTAAATATTCTAAATATTCTCCCTCCAAACACAAAGTGAAGTTTTACCTCACATGAGTAAATACAAATCCTGTGAGTAAACTAGTGTAACGCCAGTCGAATGTTAATCTGTCTCAGTGCGGCTGATTTAATGTCAGTAAACAGAAATAACCACGTCATTATCGTCTGTTAGCGTCTTCGTATTGACTCATTATTTAATCTACTCGCACTAATTAATAATAATCATTTTATTTGTGTTTGGTGGGAAGGCAGCATAACGTTGTGCCACTGTCTGATATCACCCACAGCGCCCTCTGCAGGAAAAACTGTGCAGACACCATTATCTCCCCTGCTTTATGTCTGAAAGCTCAATTTCTGATTGGCTGATTGACATATCGGTCAGGTTCTGATATTGTAAACATTTGGTCAGATGAAAAGGTCGTCGTGCGTTTCGTCCTCTGGATTCTGCTGAACCTCAATAACGGGGACTACTGGTCTGACCAGACTCTGCACTCAGAGGATGACAGAGGATTATATGTGTTTGAATTATTAGCATTATGATTAGCATTGTTAGCATTATATCACTACGTGTTTACACTGAAACAACCTCTGCAGGCTGCCTCACACTGAGCGTGCTCAGTAGAGACAGAATAATTGAAGTGTTTTTTCTAACAGAACATCAGAGAGCTGCAGTCAGGTTCTCCATCAGTGCGTTTGAGTCGACCTCAGCTCCGTGTGAATAATTGATCAGTGCTCTCGGGGGGGGTACACCGAGCAGCGGGGCTGAGGGGGGTACAGGGAGCACAGGGAGCAGCGGTGGAGTTGATGAAAATTTAAAGACGCTGCATTTGAGCACTTTGGAATATTTGCTAACGGTGAAGAAATTGCAGCTGTGGATGTTTAAATGGACGCTGACATTTCCACTCATTGTCCTGAGCTCAGGTCAACACGGCGCTTTCTTCTTCTACTGTCTGAATGTGCCGAACTCTGACCTCTGACTTCCTCACTGTTGCTATGCTGCTATACTACACTTCACTACAGTACAGTAGTACTGCAGTGTAAACTCAGTTTGTTGTTCTTTTGTCTCCAAACCGTCCAATCAGGAGCCTGCTGAAGTCTGTGGAGGATAAGCTCAACCAAAGGTAAGCCCCGCCCCCTCCTGCACACAGGTGTGATTGGTTGTCAGGTGACACATATTATTTACCTGAACTGAATCAATAAAGAAATGCAGGTATGAAAACTTTCCGTCCACCAGGGGTCATGAGACTCACCTGGATGACGAGACAATGAGTGAGGATGAAGGTGAGACTGAGGATGACGCCGGCTGTGTGGAAGGAGGTCACCATGACAACGACAATGGAGGCGACAGTGACACACAGCAGTGAGTGTGATGACATACCTGTACAGGTGGCAATGGCAATTAGCATAATTAGCATTGATAACCAGTATTTGGACAATATCTCAGCAGCTGATTGGCTGATTTGGACAATAAAGGAGCTTTTGGGGTTATTGAGGACGCTGAATCCATTTCTGACATTTTCAAAATACAAAATGGCCGCTCCCACCTCATTGCTATATAGATATTTGGAAACTCAGGACTAGACAATAAATAAATAAATCAAATGCTCTGACTCCATTTTGAACTCCAGACTGTTGAAATGGTCCTTTACTATTTCACAGGAAGTTCCCTCCTCTCTCTGTGTCTCTTTCAGAGTAAAAGACTTGACGCTGCGGCCCAGCCCTCCTCCTCCTCAAGCTCCGCCCCCTCAGGTGTGTCCTCTCACCTGTCCTGGATCTGTGTGTTCGTCAGAACCAACAGCTCATATCTCTGCCCCTCTTCAGGATGACCCTGATCACCATAGCGACCAGGACCAGGGTACCATAAAGCGCCATCCTCTGTCAGAGAGCCCCGCCCGCTCAGCTACTCAGGGTCCCCCCAGACCTCCACCCCCCAAACTACCCCCCCACAGACTCAGCAGCCTGGGTGAGTCTGAAACACAGAACCATGGCAACAGCAGCTGAGGCTCATGGGAAATGTAGTATTTAAAGTGTAAATAATTGGTCAGAACATCAGCATGAGTCAGTCCCATTCAGAAGTCCATTTAAAACACTTAGAATAAGAACTTACAATGAACTCCTCCTCCTTACCTGACTGCTCACCTGTGACCTCCACTCACCCTCACTCTGTTTGTAGGGAGTGTCCCGTCCTCATCCAATCAGCAGCCTGCGGTGCCTGCTGCAGGCCTCAACAGGAGGGACAAGAAAGATCCTCCAGTAAGAATAACTGTGATTGTTCCTCTAACCTCCGGCCCTCTGCTGCACCCTGCTGGCAACAACAAACACTGCTCAGCACATCATTCAATACAACCTTATTGATCATGACAAGATCCAATTATAAGATTGTATATTGATATAAATATGATAATTATAATATAAACACAGAGTCTTCATACTGATGTGTGTTTCTTCATCAGCAACCCGTCAGCAACGGACTCCCTCCCACACCTAAAGTCCATGTGAGTACACACACACACACACACACACACACACACACACACACACACACACACACACACACGCAGGCACGCACACACACAGACACACACACACACACACACACAGATGCACACACACACACCTTGTGTTTCCTCCTCTTCCTTAGATGGGAGCTTGTTTCTCGAAGGTTTTTAATGGCTCTCCTCTGAAGATTCACTCTGCTGCCTCCTGGATCGACCCCAACACCAGAGGTATGTTCAACTTTCTGACCTCTGTCCTCTGTGACCTCATTCAGTTGACATCATTGTTATTCAGTTCAATTCAATTACATTTTATTTGTATAACACCAATTCATAACAGAAGTTATCTGAGGACACTTTTCAAATAGAGCAGGTCTAGACCGAACTCTTCAAAACATTAATTACAGAGACCCAACAGTTCCACCATGAGCAAGCACTTGGCGACAAGGGCAAGGAAAAACTGCCTGTTAAAAGGCAGAAACCTAGGACAGATCCTTCGGCTCTAGGTGGGTGGTCGTCTGTCTCGACCAGTTGGGGTGAGAGAGAGGGAGAGAGAGACAGAGACACAGACAGACAGACAGACAGACAGACAGACAGACAGGTGCACAGCAACAACAGTATTGGCAATGGCAATCTAGCAGGACCATGGCAGGAGGCTCCACCAGGATCGATAAGAACCTGCGAGACAAGAAAGCACAAGAACTCCGGGGAAGAAGTGAAGTTAGTAACATGCATTAATGGAACATGAATGAGTGCAGAAAGAGAGAGGAAGAGTGCTCAGTGCACCATGGGAAATCCCCCGATAGTCTAGGCCTATAGCAGCATAACTAAGGGATGGTTCAGGACTCACCTGATCCAGCCCTAACTATAAGCTTTATCAAAGAGGAATGTCTTAAGCCTACTCTTGAATGTGGAGAGGGTGTCTGCCTCCCGAACCACAACTGGAAGCTGGTTCCACAGGAGAGGAGCTTGGTAACTGAAGGCTCTGGCTCCTGTTCTACTTTTAGAGACTATAGGAACCACAAGTAGCCCAGCATTCAGAGAACGTAGTGCTCTAGTGGGGTAATAGGGTACTATGAGCTCTTTAAGATATAAAGGGGCCTGACCATGAAGAGCTTTATAGGTGAGGAGGAGGATTTTAAATTCTATTCTACATTTTACAGGGAGCCAGTGCAGAGAAGCTAATACAGGAGAGATGTGATCTCTTTTTCTAGTTCCTGTCAGTACTCGTTCTGCAGCGTTCTGAATTAATTGGAGCGTTTTAATGGACTTATTGGGGCAACCTGATAATAAAGAGTTGCAGTAATCCAGCCTTGAAGTAACAAATGCATGGATTAGTCTTTCTGCATCTGTCTGTGATAGGATGTGTCTAATTTTTGTAATATTACGTAAATGAAAGAAGGCAGTCCTAGAGGTCTGCTTCATGTGGGAATTAAAAGACAAATCCTGATCAAAGATAACTCCAAGATTCCTGACAGTGGTGCTAGAGGCCAAAGTAATGCCGTCTAGAGTAACTGTCTTTAGACAGTGAGTCTCTAAGGTTTTTGGGGCCAAGAACAAGAATTTCGTTTTTTTCTGAGTTTAACATCAGAAAATTGCAGGTCATCCAGGATTTTATGTCCTTAAGACATGTTTGTTATTTAGATAATTGATTAATTTCATCGGGCTTGATTGATAGATATAACTGCGTATCATCTGCATAACAGTGAAAGTTAATGGAGTGATACCTAATAATGTTGCCTAAAGGGAGCCTATATAGAGTAAATAGTATTGGTCCAAGTACAGAACCTTGTGGAACTCCATGACTAACTGTAGTATTTATTGAAGATTCATCGTTAACATGTACAAACTGCGAACGATCTGATAAATATGACTTAAACAAGCTTAGTGCGGTTCCTTTAATGCCAATTTGATGCTCAAGTCTCTGTAAAAGAATATCATGGTCAATGGTGTCAAATGCAGCACTAAGATCTAATAATACAAGTAGAAAGACAAGTCCATTGTCAGAAGCAATCAGAAGGTCATTATTAACTTTAACCAGAGCTGTCTCTGTGCTGTGATGAACTCTAAATCCTGACTGAAAATCCTTAAATAAACTATTGTTATGTAGAAAGTCACACAACTCTTTGGCGACTACTTTCTCCAGAATCTTAGAGAGGAAGGGGAGGTTAGAAATCGGTCTATAGTTGGCTAAAACCCCTGGGTCAAGAGTGGGCTTTTTAAGAAGGGGTTTAATTACAGCTACTTTAAAGGACTGTGGTACGTATCCTGATAATAAAGAAAGATTAATCATATCCAGTAAAGAAGTGCCAATTAAGGGAACAACTTCTTTAAGCAGCCTAGTTGGGATCGGGTCTAATAGACAAGTTGATTGCTTCGATGAAGAAATGATTGAAGTTAACTGATGAAGGTCGATAGCAGAAAAACAGTCTAAATATATATCTAAGTTTACATTAGTTAATGTTCCTGAACTTGAAGAGACAACGATACTTGTTGAGGGCATTTGGTGACTAATTCTCTCTCTAATAGTAATAATTTTATTATAAAAGAAGCTCATGAAGTCATTGCTACTTAAGGTTATGGGGATATGTGGCTCAATAGAGCTGTGACGCTCTGTCAGCCTGGCTACAGTGCTGAAGAGGAACCTAGGGTTGTTCTTATTTTCTTCTATTAGTGCTGAATAATAGGGTCCTCTGGCATTACAGAGGGCCTTTCTATGTTTTCTATAGATCTTGCAAGATTGAGCGATATTATAGAATTCTGAAAGTTTTGCCTAATGCCTTATAGTCTAATAATTAAATTTAATTCAATGTTCAGTATAACTGCCATATGATAGAACAAGGTCAGAGTGTGATAAAAACAACGTAGTACTATCAGTACTAAAGTACTTCTGTCAGTACTGTAGTATTTTTGTCAGTACTGTAGCATTTTTGTCAGTACTGTAGCATTTTTGTCAGTACTGTATAGGGGTGAGTATTGGCAAGATCCTCACGATACGATACATATCACAATACTTTGGTCACGATACGATGCGTATCACGATATCGCGATATAAATAGAGATGAAAACACAAGTACCTGTATATGCACATCAGATGATATTGATCAGAGGACAAATTGAGTCAAAGCTATTTCATTCAAAACAGCCTCTCCATTTTATTAATTTATGAATTATTAATTTCCTTTTATTAATTTAACAGAACATGGACGCCACCAGTGCAGCAGCTATGTTGTTATTGCTTGTGGCTCTTCTAAACAAGCTCAATGTGAAATAATACTGTTTTTCTACAGAAACACTAACATTTCAAGTATTTCCGTTATTTCAAGTCTTACATTTCAATAATATTTTGCCATTTTCACCTATTTCAATTTTAACAAGTGCTGTTGCGTTTTTCTCGAAGTGGCAGGCTAGTGCTATTGTTAGCTACATTAACCTATTTAGCAAACCAGCTCGAAAACAAAACTTTACATTGTATTGAACTCACAGCAACACCGTGCAATGCATAAACTGGTGACCGGACTAAAGCAGCAATGTAAACAGTGTGTAAGAGCATTTAAAATCGACATTAAAACGACCAACGTAGTACAAATACAAAGAAAATACATCTCAATATGGGCACAGCCATCTTTGTTTTGCGAGTCGTACGTGCCCCCCCGTTTAGCTCGGTGTACTCTGAGGAGCCCCGAGTGGGACGGCTGAAATTAATATCTTGGCGTGGTGTCTTGCTATGTGAACTCTCAAGTTCGTTGTGATCCCACAATATTTCACGGCAGCAAGACAAGGTTTACAAACAGCATTATCTTTATCCAACTCGTTGTTCTTACTATCTTTTTTAACTTGGAAGCCAAAGTGCTTCCAAACGTCGGCTTTACACTGCGGAGGCATTGTTATTTTGATAGCCATTTTGGAAAGTCCTCAGCCACTCTCTCTAATACAGAAATACATGCTCTGCACAGCAGAGTCGCTCTTCGGCGCCATCTACCGGAGTGGCAGTACGGAAGTCGTACTGTATTCACAACGCGTCTAAACATGAATCATTATTCTTAAAAAAAATCTATATTGTATCGGGCGGCAAAGTATCGCGATATATTGCTGTATCGATATTTTTACCCACCCCTTGAACTGTACTATTTCTGTCAGTATTGTACTATTTCTGTAGTATTTCTGTCAGTACTGTAGTATTTCTGTCAGCACTGTAGTATTTTTATCAGTATTGTAGTATTTAGGTAGTATTTCTGTCAGTACTGAAGTATTTCTGTCAGTTCTGTAGTATTTTGTCAGTACTGTAGTATTTCTGTCAGTATATTTCCGTCACTACTATAGTATTTCTGTCAGTATATTTCTGACACTACTGTAGTATTTCTGTCAGTACTGTAGTATTTCTGTAGAGTTTATGTCAGTACTGTAGTATTTTTTTCAGTATATTTCTGTGACTACTGTAGTATTTCTGTCAGTGCTGTAGTATTTCTGTCAGTATCTGACCCTACTGTAGTATTTCTGTCAGTATATTTCTGTCAGTACTGTAGTATTTCTGTCAGTATATTTCTGTCAGTACTGTAGTATTTCTGTCAGTATATTTCAGTCACTACTGTAGTATTTCTGTCAGTATATTTCTGACACTACTGTAGTATTTCTGTCAGTACTGTAGTATTTCTGTAGTGTTTCTGTCACTACTGTTGTATTTCTGTCAGTATATTTCTGTGACTACTGTAGTATTTCTGTCAGTATATTTCTGTCACTACTGTAGTATTTCTGTAGTGTTTCTGCCACTACTGTAGTATTTCTGTCAGTACATTTCTGTCAGTACTGTAGTATTTCTGTCAGTACTATAGTATTTCTGCCAGTATATATCTGACCCTACTGTAGTATTTCCATCAGTATATTTCTGACACTACTGTAGTATTTCTGTAGTGTTTCTGTCACTACTGTAGTATTTCTGTCAGTATATTTCTCTGACTACTGTAGTATTTCTGTCAGTATATTTCTGTTAGTACTGTAGTATTTCTGTCACTACTGTAGTATTTCTGTCAGTATATTTCTCTGACTACTGTAGTATTTCTGTCAGTATATTTCTGTTAGTACTGTAGTATTTCTGTCACTACTGTAATATTTCTGTCAGTATATTTCTGACACTACTGTAGTATTTCTGTCACTTCTGTAGTATTTCTGTCACTACTGTAATATTTCTGTCAGTATATTTCTGTCACTTCTGTAGTATTTCTGTCAGTATATTTCTGTCACTTCTGTAGTATTTCTGTCAGTATATTTCTGTCACTACTGTAGGATTTCTGTCAGTACTGTAGTATTTCTGTCAGTATATTTAAGTCACTACTGTAGTATTTCTGTCAGTACTGAAGTATTTCTGTAATGTTTCTGTCAGTACTGAAGTATTTCTGTAATGTTTCTGTCAGTACTGAAGTATTTCTGTCAGTACTGTAGTATCTTTATCAGTATTGTAGTATTTATGTAGTATTTCTGTCAGTACAGAAGTATTTCTGTCAGTTCTGTAGTATTTTGTCAGTACTGTAGTATTTCTGTAGTATTTCTGTCAGTATTGTAGTATTTCTGTAGTATTTCTGTCAGTATATTTCTGTCACTTCTGTGGTATTTCTGTCAGTAAATTTCTGTCAGTATTGTAGTATTTCTGTCTGTATTGTAGTATTTCTATAGTGTTTCTGTCAGTACTGTAGTATTTCTGTCACTACAGCATTTCTGTCAGTACTGTAGTATTTGTGTCAGTATATTTCTGTCAGTATATTTCTGACACTACTGTAGTATTTCTGTCACTACTGTAGTATTTCTGTCAGTATATTTCTGACACTACTGTAGTATTTCTGTCAGTATATTTCTGTCACTACTGTAGTATTTCAGTCAGTATATTTCTGTCAGTATATTTCTGACACTACTGTAGTATTTCTGTCAGTATATTTCTGTCAGTATATTTCTGACACTACTGTAGTATTTCTGTCAGTATATTTCTGTCAGTATATTTCTGTCACTACTGTAGTATTTCTGTCAGTATATTTCTGTCAGTATATTTCTGACACTACTGTAGTATTTCTGTCAGTATATTTCTGTCAGTACTGTAGTATTTCTGTTAGGATATCTGTCACTACTGTGGTATTTCAGTCAGTATATTTCTGTTAGTACTGAAGTATTTCTGTCAATATTTGTGTCTTCTGTCCTCAGATCAATATCTGATCTTCGGGGCTGAGGAGGGAATTTACACTCTGAACCTGAACGAACTGCATGAGAACTGTATGGAACAGGTGAGAGCTCACCTTGTCCCCCTGGTCCCCCTGGTCCCCCTGGTCCACCTGGTCCACATGGACCAAGTCCAGCTCAGGAGTTGAGGTTTGGTCTGGTTTTGACGTATGCAGAATGAATCAGTGATCAGTTTTGTGTCTGCAGCTGTTTCCTCGCAGGTGTACCTGGGTTTATGTGATGAACAACACTCTGATCTCCATCTCAGGTGAGTCGACAGTCAGACAGACAGAACTTTTACTAACAGAACGTTCTCTGGAGAACAAAGGGAACAGAAACACCTCCATCGGGCTGCGACCAGAGCACTTTGATTAAGGCGGTGAAATAGCAACATATGGCCTCTTAGCTGTACAATAAATCCATCAGAATGTTGTGTTGAACACGGTCGTTGCTGAAGATCATTTTGAAGAAGAGTGGGTTTCAAACAGAGGCTGCTAGCAAAAACTGGAAAAATGGAAAATAAAAGCTATCTCATATTCATCTTCTAATGTCACATATTTCATATTCATCATTATACAGTTTTATTATTATTGAATTGCATCTTTCTCTGTATTTTCAACACATGAAAGAGTCACTTCACTGCAACATGAGGCAGTAAAAGACCTTGAGCTCAGTAAAGATCAAATCAGAGCTCAGAAAACAGAGCTCAGAAACCGAGCATCAAGCTGAAGAGAAATAAACAAGGAGAAAACAAAAAACAAACAAAGAAGAGGACAGGGGAGACTAAAGCAAGTAACAGCAAACTACTGGACACTGAAATCAGTAAGTTTTTGCATTTATTACTATAAAACAAGTCCCAACCGAAACACTCAAGCTAATAGCTAACAAGCTAACACTGGACTGTGGTTACCTAGCAACGGCATCAATAACAGCAGTAGTGCTGTTTTAAACACAAACACAGAACCTTGAAGATCAACAGCTGTATCATGATGTCTACACACTCTGAAACCATTGAATATCCCCCAGCTATCAAAAGCAAAACTGCAAAAGGAAAATATAAACAAACAATACTTCGAGAAAGACCAGAAATCCTGTTCCTGGACCATCACAAAGATGGAAGGTTCTGCAATTTAATCTTCTGGACTGATGAACCAGTCGCCTGGCTGAATGTGTTCAGCTCTCATTACCCAGCAATAAAGAGAACAGGTATTTGTAATGGATGGAAAATAAGTGTACTCGAAGAGAACGACTCTGACACCACCAGAATAACAGTAAACCTGTTCAAAAATGGAACTGCCATGATACAAGGCGACCTGAGACAGTTTGAACTCGACTTTCCTGCTTTGAGACTGAGTGCTGCGAAGGAAAAGGAGATCCTCACAAGCATCGCTCCAGCACTGGGAGCCAAACCCCCCTGTTCTGTCCCTGCTCCAGACAGACAGCCTGCAGATGCTGACACTGATCTTCCCCTGCTACAGCACTCTGAGGCCCTGGACATAATGAGAGAACACTTCTCCCAGATGGAAATAGAACTGGTTCAGATCAGAGAGCAGCTGGACCAACAGCAGCCTACTTCTCCTACTGTCACTGACTTCCAGGCCAAGAAAGAACAGAGCAATGTCAACTCACAGCTGAGAGAGCTTCAACAAGAACTAGCTCGTCAGAGAAGACAGCTGGATCATCTCAGTGAGGAGGTGAAGGAACTTAGGAAGGACAGAGACAACTGCAAAACTGAGTTGGCTACTCTGAGAGAAGAGCTACATGAGAGGGACAGAACAGGGCTCAGTCTACAAGACAGACTGAACTCCACACAACCCCCTGTGCTCACCTTTCAGACCCAGACCACATCCAGCCAAACTCCCACTACACCTGCTGAAGTACAAGGACCGCCAGGACCTCCCCGACCTTCAAGACCATCCAGACCTCCACCATGCTTCCACTCCCGGCTGTCAGAGAGGACAACCAGGCCACCAAATCCACCGCATCACCAACATCACAACCCACAGCCCACCCCACAGCCAACACAACACTGGCCTCTGATACCCAGCCAGAGAGCCCCCCAGCCTGGAGGTCCTATACCCCCCTCCTCCCAACGGCAGAACCAAGACTACAGGAGCAGCAGCCTATTGGGCTGAACTATGCTGCAGCGGTGAGAAGAACTACACCTTCTTTTAAGGTGTTTGTCTAATTTTTGAATGGATCACACTTAGAGATGAAATCGTTTACAATAACATGTTGGAACGTTCAAGGTCTGAGATCATCAGCTTTTGGTTTAAAGAGCAGAAATTCAGATTTTAATAGAGAGTTAAAAGACTCTGACATCATAGTTTTACAGGAGACATGGTGCAGAGAAGATGTGTCCACTGGTCGTCCTCACGGCTACACTGAGATTATTATACCATCAACAAAACATCCCACAATAACCCAAGGCAGAGACTCAGGAGGCATGATTATATGGTGTAAATCAGAACTGAGCCAGTCCATCACAGTTATTAAAAAAGAAGAATCTTATATATGGTTGAAAATCAACAAAAAGATTATTTGTGCTGAGCAACATGTCTACATGTGTGCCATCTATATACCTCCATCAGAATCCCCCTACTACAACCCAGATATTTCGTCTATTCTTGAGGAGGAAATTAACCATTATAAAACAATGTGAAATGTATTACTCTGTGGGGACTTGAACGCTCGAACAGGGGAAAGAGATGACACTTTAAACACCCATGGAGACAAACACTTACCTGGAAGCACCTGCTTCCCCCTCCCTACTTGTCCTACTTTAAAGAGCTTTGACAAGCTTACTAATATAAGCGGTATGCAGCTTTTACAGCTCTGCTGTACACTGGGTCTGTATATAGTCAAGGGCAGGCAACGAGGGGACTCTCTGGGTCGCTACACTTACAGCTCATCTCTTGGCAGTAGTACGGTAGATTATTATTATTATAATTACTTTAGTGAGTTATACAATAATATTACAAATAATGATGATCAGTACAAGATATTCACAAAATGGAAAACTCTGGAGGCGGTGATAAAAAACAACCGAAACCCTCTAGATTACCCAGTAACAGAACAAGAATTAACAGAAGTCATCCCTGAAAGGAAAAAAGGCTTGTGGCATTGATGTGAATCCTCAACGAAATGATCACATACTCAGACCATAAAATCAGATTGGCTATACTAAAACTATTCAATACTATTCTGTCAACTGGAGCTTTTCCAGACATCTGGAACAAAGGTTTAATAACCCCAATTCATAAATCCGGAAATAAATATGATTACAGAGGAATATGTGTCTCCAGTAACCTGGGAAAAATATTCTGCAACATCATTAATAAACAACTTTCTTGATGACCACAATATTCTGCATAAATGCCAAATTGGCTTCTTGCCAAATTGCCGCACAACGGACCATATATTTACCCTCCAGACTTTAACTGATCAAGAATTAAAAAATTAAGGAAAGAAAGGTATATGCATGTTTCGTTAACTTCAAAAAAGCCTTTGATTCCATCTGGCACAAGGGCCTTTTCTATAGGCTACTTGAAAGTGGCATTGGAGGAAAAACATATGATCTGATTAAGAACATGTATACAAAAAGTGAATGTGCCGTAAAGATTGGAAACAAACAAACAGCGTTCTTCTCCCAGGGCCGGGGAGTGAGGCAGGGATGCAATCTCACTGCAAGTTTCTTCAATCTTTATATCAATGAATTAGCGAACCAACTAGAGCGTTCCACGGCACCTGGCCTCACCCTGAACGACACAGAGATCAGAGGTCTGCTATATGCAGATGACTTAGTGTTGCTTTCGCCTACTAAAGAAGGTTTGCAGCAGCACCTTAATCTCCTGCAGAGATTTTGTCAGACCTGGGCCCTGACAGTAAACACAGCAAAGACTAAGATAATGATCTTTCAGAAACAATACAGATATCAGGTTACACACAATTTCTATTTAGACACCACTAAATTACAACATACAAAAAACTACACTTACCTTGGCCTCAACATTACATACACAGGAAACCTCAACATGGCTGTGAAAGATCTGAGGGACAAAGCAAGGAGAGCTTTCTATGCAATAAAGAGAAACATTAAAATCTATATTCCAATCCAAATCTGGCTTAAAATTTTCCAATTTGTACTAGAACCAATAATTCTATATGGCAGAGAAATTTGGGGACCAAAACTAAATAATGAATTTGACAAATGGGACAAAACAATCATAGAATCTTTCCACACCGAGTTCTGTAAGAGCATCCTGCAGGTGCAGAGAAAAACACCAAATAATCTGTGCAGAGCAGAGCTCGGCCAATACCCCCTCCTACTAAAAATACAGAAAAGATCAATTCAATTTTACAATCACTTAAAATCAGTTAACCCCCAGACATACCATCACAAAGCCCTAACATACCAGGAGCTGAAACCAGAGAAGAGTCCCCTCAGCCAGCTGGTCCTGAGGCTCTCTGCAGTAACATGTCCCCAACAGCCTCAGGACAGCAACACCAACTCAATCAGACCAAACCAAATTATCAACAAGCAAAAAGAAAAATATATTGAATACTGGAAAGAATCGAGCAAAACACAAAGTAAATTACAATGTTATCTGACCCTAAAAAGAGAATTCACACTGGCAAATTACCTGATCACAATAAAATGTCCTAAACTAAGAACAATGTTGACAATGTACAGACTGAGTGAACACAGCCTGGCCATAGAAAAGGGTCGCCACAGACAGAACTGGCTACCAGAAGAGGAAAGACTCTTCTCCCAGTTCTAACCTCATGCCCTAAATTCAAAACTTTAAGAGAAAAACAATTTGCAAACATTTCCTAAATATACCCCGAATTCTAATTATTATCAGACACACAGAAACTCCCCTATTTACTGGGAGAAATGCCAAAAAGTCAAATTATTGCAGCAAAATATGTCTCCTCATGCCACGAACTGAGGACAACCAGTGGAAACTCAGATAAATGTATAAAATAATTGATTGTTTTAGTTTTTTTTTTGTTTTGTTTTGTAATATACTGTATATACACACACACTCACTCACTCACTCTCTCTCTCTCTCTCTCTCTCTCTCTCTCTCTCACACACACACACACACACACACACACACACACACACACACGTTTACAGTTTTATCTACCTATTTAATTTTAATTTTAATATATTTTAATATTATATACATTATATATTATATTTAATAATTTGTTATTACTGTTATATTGACAACAGACTACTTGTTTTAACTGTAGTTACTACTGTTTTAATGACATTTTTAGTTGACACAAACTGATTGATTCATTCATTCATTCATTCATTCATTCATTGTAATTAAATACCTATTGACTGTGATTGTGATTGAGTCAATCATAGTTACAGTATTACCAACAGTATAGATTATAATTCATTTATTGTAAATATTGTTTTCCTTTATTGTTATTATTATTTTTAATTCCAAACGCTTGCTTTGGCAATATGTACAGTGTTACGTCATGCCAATAAAGCCATTTGAATTGAATTGAATTGAGTGAGAGAGAGAGAGAAAGACAGACAGACAGACAGGGGTGCACAGCAACAACAGTAGCAACAACTACACTAATAGTAGTGACGGATGATGATGAACATGAAGAAGATGGTGACAACGACGACAACAGCAACGATCGATAGATGTTGTTGAAGTTTGGTGGAGATTGGACAATGTACGCTGAAGATAACAAACTTTCTGTTTCATGGTGAAATGTTGAAAGTGGACGCCATGGACACGCCTGTCAACAAAAACTCATAAGTCGATCCAATAAATTCTGTAGGAGTTTGTTAAAGTGCAACGTGTGCAAATCGCCAAAAATTAATCCAAAATTGCAGAACTCCTGTTAGGTTTTAGAGGCTTTTTGTGCAAACTGATTTTGATACTTATCGGTGAAAAGTGCCTTGTGGGCGGAGGTTTAGGGGGCGAGGTCGTCCATATATGGGACCCATATGACATGTGACATTTTTATATCTAAATAGGGCCTCACTAACACTAAATATTAATAATCTCTAATAATCATAAAAGAACAAAGAAATGTGTGTGTTAACTGAGCCCTGTCTGCAGGTAAAGCCTCTCAGCTGTACTGCCACAGTCTGGCCGGTCTGTTTGAACAGGCTCGACACAAACAGAAGCTCACCGTCTCCATCCCGACTCGCCGTCTGCCCGATCGCATCCTGCCACGGTCAGTTCCTCCACACGCTAAAAACATGTAGCAGGTAATAAGGGAACATGTTAAGCTTCCTCTCACACACGAAAGGCAGCAGCAGTTTATGGTTTAGTATTTTGCTGGAGGACACTGGACAGGAGGAGTCAAAGTGGCAACCCTATGAGAGGGAGCAGGTCCTGTTCTACGGAGTCCGCCATGTTTCTACAGTAGCCCTAAATGGACAAACCAAACACTGGCTCTAGAGAGGGGCTTTACTGTTTTGCGGCCATCATAGTTTCTCCTACACACTGGGAGGACTGAGCAGTATTCAGTTGGCTCAAACTTTACCACTAGATGACACTAAACCCTACACAAAAAAACACAGGAAAACACCTACATTGCTGGCAGATATGACAGATAACATGTGATTGACCTTTAACAGCTTGTTCCTGATTGTCTTTTGTCTCTAGGAAGTTTTCAATCTCCAATAAGATTCCTGACACTAAAGGCTGTCTGAAATGCTGCGTAGGTGAGTCATACACCGTTTCCCATCATGCACTTCTCAGCCTCGGTTTCGGTTTAGTCTCAGGGTTAATCAGTTTAAAGTCGCGTAGAAAAGCAGTCTCTTGTTCGTCTTTGTGTTAAAAAGATCAAATGTGAGCCCAACACACAATGAAGCAGACAATTCAGTCTGAAAGAGGTAAATTAATACCTCACTAATGATAGGCTCTCTGAAAACCTGTAACTCACCTGTACTGCAGGTAAGAGACAGTTTAGGAGTGCAGTTCATCTACTGCTTGTTTGTGGCAGCAAATGGTCTCAGGTGAGCGTAGAGTGGAGACCATCAGACACTTACAAAAACTCTGTAGCAAGACACCTGTAATGATCCCCTCCCTTCCCTACAGTGAGAAACCCTTACACAGGTCATAAGTACCTGGGTGGAGCTTTCCAGTCAGGTGTGGTCCTGCTGGAGTGGGTGGATCCAATGCAGAAGTTCATGCTGGTCAAGGTAAGAAAACAGCAACTACGTGGTTCTAATGTGTGAATCCACACTGAGAACCATCAGTGCTCAAGAACACTTAGAGACAGGACAAGGAGCTCAGAGGAGAACTGCTGCTCCTTCATAATTGAATTGAGTCAGTTGAGGTGGTTCAGCATCTGATCAGGATCCTCCTAGAGGCTCAGGGGCAGACCCAGAAGACACTGCAGGAATTAAATGTCCCATCATGCCTAGGAACACCTCAGATTCCTCAAAGAGGACACTGGAGGAGGTAAGTGAGGAGAACATCTGGGCTACCTGACCTAGAGACCTACACAAACAGCAGAGATCCGATGTATAGAAGTTGTATCTGTGCCAGCATGATGCCTCAAAATGTCACTTCCAGTTTTGACTGCCAGTTTTAGTGGGGCAAAAGGGTCATACAACCATATTTGTTCTTGATCCCTGTCCCCAGGCTGAACCAGCACAAACTCCTCCTTTAATACCTGAGCAGGTTTTTACAAATGTCAGAAATATTTATACAAACATGCAGCCCCAGTAGACTGACCTGCAGCTCTATGATCACTATGATAGACTGTGAGAATCAGACCCAGTGATATCTCTCCATGTGTCTGTCCACACCAGAATGTGGACTTCCAGCCTCCGTGTCCTCTGGAGGTTTTCGAGCTGCTGGTCGTCCCCGAGGAGCCTTACCCCCTGATTTGTGTTGGCCTGAACAAAGGAACTGAACCCAACCAGCCTGTCAGCTTCCAGACCCTCAACCCCAACTCTTCCTGCCCTACCCCCCCAGATACAGGTACAACTCTTCCTAACTCAGGTACAACTTCCCCTGACTCAGGTACAACTCCTCCTAACTCAGGTACAACTTCCCCTGACTCAGGTACAACTTCCCCTGACTCAGGTACAAGTCCTCCCAACACAGGTACAACTCCCCCTGACTCAGGTACAGCTCTTCCTAACTCAGGTACAGCTTCCCCTGACTCAGGTACAACTCCTCCTAACTCAGGTACAACTTCCCCTGACTCAGGTACAACTCCTCCCAACACAGGTACAACTCTTTCTAACTCAGGTACAACTCCCCCTGACTCAGGTACAACTCCCCCTGACTCAGGTACCACTTCTCCCAACACAGGTACAACTCCCCCTGACTCAGGTGTAGGGCAAATTCTTCCACAATATTGAGAGTTGCTTGTTCTCTGAAGAGTTACAAACCCAGTGTGATGAATCAAATTCCTTTACTCATGCAGCATGGAGAGAAGACCACAGCATAGACATTCTCTCTCTACTTCCAGAATGCTATCCCTTTAAACAGTGAACACACCTGTCATCCTATTTGTATTACTAATGTAAAGTCCACATATGGGTTTGAGGTCTCTCACACAATGGTCCTGTGAGCTGACCCCTATGACTGTGACCAACTTCTCACCAGTCATCCCCTACCATAATAACACGACCCCCCTAAACCCTCTATATATACATTAACTACCCATACAACATTTTCATCCACCCACAGGTACAACTGTAACTTTTTGTTTCTCTGCAGAAAGCCCTCAGAGTTGTGTCATCCACATCACTCAGCTGGAGAGAGACACTGTCCTGGTCTGTCTGGACCGTAAGTTACTGAGATATTGTTTTATTGAATATAAATAACATTTAATTATTCTAATAATAGAAGTTTAATTTTGATCACCTGAGCTTTGTTTGTACTTTCTACTTCCTGTAGGTTGTATAAAGATCGTAAACCTTCAGGGGAAACTGAAGTCCAGCAAGAAGCTGTCAGCTGAGCTCACCTTCAACTTCCAGATCGAGGCGATTGGTACACCACCTTAAATGTGCTATAAACAACCTCATACATGCACTCAAAATCTTTAAAAAGCCCTCAGACATCTGACTCCAGGTGTGTTGACTCCTCCTTTTCCTCAGTGTGTTTACAGGACAGTGTTTTGGCCTTCTGGAGACATGGCATGCAGGGGCGGAGCTTCAGATCAAACGAGGTAATAATCATCCAATCAGAGAGCAGGAACCCACCCACCTGACTGCTGTGTCATAACGTCTGTTTTTTCTGTTCTGTAGATCACTCAAGAGATCAGTGACAACAGCAGGATGTTCCGCCTGCTTGGCTCCGACAGGTGAGACACCTGTCTGGTAAACACACAGATAAACAGACAGGTAAACAGTCTGTCATCTCACCTGTCTGTCTGTGTCTATCTGTCTTTTCTGCAGGGTGGTGGTTCTGGAGAGCAGAGCGACAGATAACCCGACTGAACACAGTAACCTGTACATACTCGCTGGACACGAAAACAGCTATTAATACCAGGACCAAACCAGGACCAAACCAGGACCAAACCGGGAACAAACCAGTTCAAATGAAGCTCTAAATCTGGAGTGCTTCAGTTACCAGTCTGGTATTGTACGACTGTGGTTCTGCCGCCTTACCATCACATTTCTGAAGAACCAGGACCAAACCAGGGCCTGTATTGTCCAACGTCTTAAATTATCCCACAATTCAACTGTAAATGTAGTCAACGAACAATGGTGCCAGCTACTACCATGCATTACAGTTGACAGTAGTATCCGACACCAAGTTAACAAGTTTAGAGCCTGCCAGTCATTCCGAACTGGACCCACAGCAGGTCCAGAACCAGAGTCCAGCTCTGTGTTTTCTCACCAAATTCTTGAACCGGTTCTGTTCAGGATTCTTGGAACGTTGGTGCTATCTAGTGAACCAGCACACGTGGAACCAGTGTAATCGGATCAAGAGGGGGCGCTGCACAACGACCAGTAGAATGTGATACACCCACTTTGGTTCCCATGGGAAACATAAACTTCTGTGGTTCCGAAACTGTTTATTTTTGGTAATAATGCGGTTCACAACCGGGTGGGTGAACCAGAACAGAGCAGTTCCCTCTTGGTGGAAAAGGCCTAACTGTGGACCACTGGTGGATCCAGTTACTGAAACATTATTATAATCAATAAAATTCATCAGAACTCGAAGTCTGTACACAGTTTTATGATGAGTAATGGGTAATGAGTTGTATGTTTATACTGTAAAGATACAGTATGAGAGTATTTGTTGGATCCAGTCTGTGACGCTGCCGTCACGTTTCAAGATGGTTCAGTGAAGCAGCCGAGACAATGGGATGATCTGAAGTTTTACACAGGAAGTCATGTTTAGGTATTTTCTGGTATTTTTAATGATATCTTAGATTTTCCTGATGGACAGATTGATAAGTAGCCAACCGCTAACTGCCGTTAGCTCAGTCAGCCATGCAACTAACCTAACTGACTCAGCTCTGGGATGCCAGGAGCCAGACCCGCAGTACCCGGGTCCACCAGCAGGAGGCAGGAGTGATGAAGGCAGTGTCTGTTGTGTATGTATTGACTATTATCAGTTACTGAGCTCTGACTATGGAGCAGATAAACATTTAACCTGTCCGTCTCAATATTAAAGCTGCTTTTAAATTTTACATTTATTCAGTCTTTTTTATGCTGATGTGCAAACACTGTAAAATAAAACGTCTTTTTTACTCTGATCAGTGCTCGTGTCAATATTTATATTAAAGCTTCAGTTCAACACAAATCACATGTCCTGATTGATTCTCTTTGAATTCTTCTTTGTATCACTTTTTCAATTGAAGTCACATTTTCATCTTATTTTTTATTTTACTGGCAGAAATGGTCTTCCAGAGATAGAGAAAATATTTGTTGTGTACTGAATAAAATTTAAATTAAAATTTATAGGCGTTGTTTGTTTGTCTTTCTTATTCTTAATTTTATAAACACTGATCAAAGTAAATGAAAGTGAAATTTTATGGAGCCAGGACGGTGACTTTGGCATTGAAAACAAAACCAGTACTGAAAAAGGAAACATTGGCATTGAAACATTTGTAGTGAAAACAGTTGTATTGGCACTGAAAAAAGAAACTAATTAAAAATATTAAAATATTAAAATCTTATTATTTTATTGGGATTTTTTTGTATTTTTCAATGACAATCTTCAGATTTTTTCTTCATGTCACTCTTTTTTCAGTGACAGATTTTTTTACAATGTCAGTTTTTCAATTCAATTTTATTTGTATAGCGCCAATTCATAACAGAAGTTATCTCAGGACACTTTTCAAATAGAGCAGGTCTAGACCGAACTCTATAACATTATTTACAGAGACTCAACAGTACCACCATGAGCAAGAACTTGGCGACAAGGGCAAGGAAAGACTGCCTGTTAAAAGGCAGAAACCTAGGACAGATCCTTCGGCTCTAGGTGGGTGGTCGTCTGTCTCGACCAGTTGGGGTGAGAGAGAGAGAGAGACAGACAGACAGACAGGTGCACAGCAACAACAGTATTGGCAATGGCAATCTAGCAGGACCATGGCAGGAGGCTCCACCAGGATCGATAAGAACCTGCGAGCCGAGAAAGCACAAGAACTCCGGGGAAGAAGTGAAGTTAGTAACATGCATTAATGGGACATGAATGAGTGCAGAAAGAGAGAGGAAGGGAGGAGCTCAGTGCACCATGGGAAATCCCCCGATAGTCTAGGCCTATAGCAGCATAACTAAGGGATGGTTCAGCTTTATCAAAGAGGAATGTCTTAAGCCTACTCTTGAATGTGGTGAGGGTGTCTGCCTCCCGAACCACAACTGGAAGCTGGTTCCACAGGAGAGGAGCTTGGTAACTGAAGGCTCTGGCTCCTGTTCTACTTTTAGAGACTATAGGAACCACAAGTAGCCCAGCATTCAGAGAACGTAGTGTTCTAGAGGGGTAATAGGGTACTATGAGCTCTTTAAGATATGAAGGGGCCTGACCATGAAGAGCTTTATAGGTGAGGAGGAGGATTTTAAATTCTATTCTACATTTTACAGGGAGCCAGTGCAGAGAAGCTAGTACAGGAGAGATGTGATCTCTTTTTCTAGTTCCTGTCAGTACTCGTTTTGCAGCGTTCTGAATTAATTGGAGCATTTTAATGGACTTATTGGGGCAACCTGATAATAAAGAGTTGCAGTAATCCAGCCTTGAAGTAACAAATGCATGGATTAGTTTTTCTGCATCTGTCTGTGATAGGATGTGTCTAATCTTTGTAATATTACGTAAATGAAAGAAGGCAGTCCTGGAGGTCTGCTTCATGTGGGAGTTAAATGACAAATCCTGATCAAAGATAACTCCAAGATTCCTGACAGTGGTGCTAGAGGCCAAGGTAATGCCATCTAGAGTAACTATATCTTTAGACAGTGAGTCAAGAACAAGAATTTTGTTTTTTTCTGAGTTTAACATCAGAAAATTGCAGCTCATCCAGGATTTTATGTCCTTAAGACATGTTTGTAATTTAGATAATCGATTAATTTCATCGGGCTTGATCCATAGATATAACTGTGTATCATCTGCATAACAGTGAAAGTTAATGTAGTGATTCCTAATAATGTTGCCTAAAGGGAGCATATATAAAGTAAATAGTATTGGTCCAAGTACAGAACCTTGTGGAACTCCATGACTAACTGTAGTATTTATTGAAGATTCATCGTTAACATGTACAAACTGCGAATGATCTGATAAATATGACTTAAACCAGCTTAGTGCGGTTCCTTTAATGCCAATTTGATGCTCAAGTCTCTGTAAAAGAATATTATGGTCAATGGTGTCAAATGCAGCACTAAGATCTAATAATACAAGTACAGAGACAAGTCCATTGTCAGAAGCAGTCAGAAGGTCATTATTAACTTTAACCAGAGCTGTCTCTGTGCTATGATGAACTCTAAATCCTGACTGAAAATCCTTAAATAAACTATTGTTATGTAGAAAGTCACACAACTCTTTGGCGACTACTTTCTCCAGAATCTTAGAGAGGAAGGGGAGGTTAGAAATCGGTCTATAGTTGGCTAAAACCCCTGGGTCAAGAGTGGGCTTTTTAAGAAGGGGTTTAATTACAGCTACTTTAAAGGACTGTGGTACATATCCTGATAATAAAGAAAGATTAATCATATCCAGTAAAGAAGTGCCAATTAAGGGGACAACTTCTTTAAGCAGCCTAGTTGGGATTGGGTCTAAAAGACAGGTTGATGGCTTCGATGAAGAAATGATTGAAGTTAACTGATGAAGATCGATAGCAGAAAAACGGTCTAAATATATATCTAAGTTTACATTGACAGAACTTGGAGAGCCACTGATAACTGTTGATGGCAGTTGGTGATTAATTTTCTCTCTAATAGTAATAATTTTATTATAGAAGAAGCTCATGAAGTCATTGCTACTTAAGTTTATGGGGATATGTGGCTCAATAGAGCTGTGACTCTCTGTCAGCCTGGCTACAGTGCTGAAGAGGAACCTAGGGTTGTTCTTATTTTCTTCTATTAGTGCTGAGTAATAGGCTCCTCTGGCATTATGGATACTAAAATGTAGAAATGTGGATACTACTTAATTCATAGATTTCTAGATAAGAGAGCCGCTCCGTCCAAAGTTGGATGGATGCCGTCTCTCCTAATCAGACCAGGTTTTCCCCAAAAAGGCTTCCACTTATCAATGAAGCCCACATCGTTTGCTGGACACCACCTCGACAGCCAGCGGTGGAATGACGACATGCGACTGTACATGTCATCACTGGTCACATTGGGCAGGGGTCCAGAGAAAACTACTGAGTCCGACATAGTTTTAGCATAGTTACACCGACTCCACATTAATTTTGGTGACCGCCGATTGGCGTAAACGGGTGCCATTACCGCCGACATGGATAACAATCTTACTGTATTTACGTTTATGTATACATACGTGTATGTATGTATTGCAGTGTCACTGATTTTCAGTTTCAACTTTCTGTCACTGTTTTGGCATTGAGGGGAGGGGTGTGAGGGGAGGGGCAAGTAGAGCGTGGTTTGCATATCATTTGCATATCGGCAAACCCGCCATCCACTCTTAAGCCTCTGGCATGGTGGCATTACTGAAATGTCCTGTTCACCGGGAACTTCCAAACCACAAGTAAAGCCCTATTCGCACAGGACTAGTATTACCTGGGGACCTCTAGTAATTTGTAATAATTGCAGAGGTCGTCTGTGATCTTAATCCTGTGCGAATCTGCCATGTCCGTAATTTGTAAAGTAAAAATTCCACCGCAAATTACCTACCATATTTCTCCAAACACAGAGATCATGTGATAATATTAGTGCCATGCGAATCGGCATCTCTGTGATTCGTTTTTTTGTGTTTTCAGCGCCTTTTTTCTGCCTTTTTCCCAGTCGAAAATCATGGAGGCTGCGTTGGCAATTATAAATTAAAGTTTTGACAGCATTTTGATGTTTGTGGGATGCTGGGAAAACAGCAGACGGACACTGATGTGAGCAAGATGTTCGAGCCGTTCGGCAGCATAGAGGAGTGCACGGTGCTCCGTGGGCCCGATGGTACCAGCAAAGGTAACGCCAGATCAGTAACAGACTGTTACGCATAGCTAACACAGAGCCTTGACATCGAGACAGACGACCACCCACCTAGAGCCGGAGGATCTGTCCTAGGTTTCTGCCTTTTAACAGGCAGTGTTTCCTTGCCCTTGTCGCCAAGGTCTTGCTTATGGTGGTACTGTTCGGTCTCTGTAATTAATGTTTTAAAGAGTTCAGTCTAGACCTGCTCTATTTGAAAAGTGTCCTGAGATAACTTCTGTTATGAATTGGTGCTAAACAAATACAATTGAATTGAATTGAATTGAATATCAGGGGGATAATGTCAGTAAATTCGAGTTAAAACACAGACTTTGCTTATCCTGTGCGAATGTGCCGCACGAAACACAGACATGGTCGGGTAATTACTAAATCACATGAGGTCCCCAGGTAATACTAGGCCCATGCGAACAGGGCTTTACTTGTGGTTTGGAAGTTCCAGATGAACAGGACATTTCAGTAATGCCACCATGCAAGAGGCTTAAGAGCGGATGGCGGGTTTGCCGATATGCAAATGATATGCAAACTACTTGCCCCTCCCTTCAGACCCCTCCTCTCAACGCCAAAACAGTGACAGAAAGATGAAACTGAAAATCAGTGACACTGAAAAAAAACTGACATTGTAAAAAAATCTGTCACTGAAAAAAGAGTGAAAAAAAAATCTGAAGATTATCATTGAAAAATACAAAAAAATCCCAATAAAATAATAAGATTTTATGATTTTAATTATTTTTATTAGTTTCTTTTTTCAGTGCCAATACTTGTTTCAATGCCAATACAACTGTTGAAACATTTGTAATAAATGTTTCAATGCCAATGTTTCCTTTTTCAGTACTGGTTTTGTTTTCAATGCCAATTTTTTTTTTGGATGCCAAATCCTGGCTCCATAAAATTTTGGTTTACTGTGTTTCATAAAGAGTTTCTTTGTCATGTCAAAGCAATTCAACTTTTTATTTAAATATTGGAATGTGATTTACAAAAAAGCCCCTTAAATTTAATTAATTTACTTTTGCTTTATTTTGAATATTGTTTCAGTCTAATGTCTGTTTCTTTTTGTATCTTATTTGAATTTAATAAAGTGATTATTATAAATAACAAATTCGATTAATTGTTTTTTTATTTTTCATTCTATATTCTAATATTTGTAATTCAGTTAGATTTTGTATTAATGCAACAGGAACTGTGTGCTTTTATTTTGAAGTGTGGGGAGCGAGCAGCGTACCGGAGGCAGAGAAGAAGAAGCAGCAGATCGCTGTTGTTGTTATTTGTTTTGTTGTTTATTGTTGTTGTTGGTGTCGGTTTCTGCAGACTCACCTTGCGGACAGGAGCGAGCAGAACCAGGTGAGACTAATATCGCATAGAGGACTCTTCTGGACCTGGTCTGATGCGGTTCACAGGAATCTGGATGCTAACGATGCTAATGATGCTAATTGAACCCGTCCAGGTCTGGTCCAGTTCTGGTCCAGTTCTGGTCCAGTTCTGGTCCCTGCTGCATCTGAACCAGGTCTAGTTAGTCCAGCTGAAGGGTCTGTATAAACCGATCCGATCTGAAGCGGGTCAGCGGGTCAGCGGGTTCTGGTCTGTATTTGAACCGGATCCTGTGTTGACCTACTTTCTTTCCCTGCGGCCCGAAACCAGACCTGAACCGGTTCACACCGAGACCGGGTTTAACTGACCGGTCCGGGTTCAGCCAGACCTCCAGTCTGCAGCCGAAAGAGGGTCTGATCCGGTCTTGATAATCCATAATAATCCATAATAGTAGTGTAAAGTAATGACTAATAATAATAAATAATCAGTAATTCTAATAATAATGATTAATAATAATAATAATAATAATGATTAATAATAATAATAATAATAATAATGATTAATAATAATAATAATAATGATTAATAATAATAATGATTAATAATAATAATAATAATAATAATAATAATAATGATTAATAATAATAATAATAATAATAATGATTAATAATAATAATGATTAATAATAATAATAATAATGATTAATAATAATAACAATGAATAATAATAATAATAATATTAATAATAATAAGTGGTGATAATAATAATAAATAATAATAATAATAATAATGAATAATAATTATAATAATAATGATTATTAATAATAATAATAATGATTAATAATAATAATGATGATGATTCATAATAATAATAATAATAATGATTAATATTACTGACAGGAACTAGAAAAAGAGATCACATCTCTCCTGTACTAGCTTCTCTGCACTGGCTCCCTGTAAAATGTAGAATAGAATTTAAAATCCTCCTCCTCACCTATAAAGCTCTTCATGGTCAGGCCCCTTCATATCTTAAAGAGCTCATAGTACCCTATTACCCCTCTAGAACACTACGTTCTCTGAATGCTGGGCTACTTGTGGTTCCTATAGTCTCTAAAAGTAGAACAGGAGCCAGAGCCTTCAGTTACCAAGCTCCTCTCCTGTGGAACCAGCTTCCAGTTGTGGTTCGGGAGGCAGACACCCTCACCACATTCAAGAGTAGGCTTAAGACATTCCTCTTTGATAAAGCTTATAGTTAGGGCTGGATCAGGTGAGTCCTGAACCATCCCTTAGTTATGCTGCTATAGGCCTAGACTATCGGGGGATTTCCCATGGTGCACTGAGCTCCTCTCTTCCTCTCTCTTTCTGCACTCATTCATGTCCCATTAATGCATGTTACTAACTTCACTTCTTCCCCGGAGTTCTTGTGCTTTCTCGTCTCGCAGGTTCTCATGGATCCTGGTGGAGCCTCCTGCCATGGTCCTGCTAGATTGCCATTGCCAATACTGTTGTTGCTGTGCACCTGTCTGTCTCTCTCTCTCTCTCTCTCTCTCTCTCTCTCTCTCTCTCTCTCACCCTCACCCCAACTGGTCGAGACAGACGACCACCCACCTAGAGCCGGAGGATCTGTCCTAGGTTTCTGCCTCTTAACAGGCAGTTTTTCCTTGCCCTTGTCTCCAAGTGCTTGCTCATGGTGGTACTGTTGGGTCTCTGTAATTAATGTTATAAAGAGTTCGGTCTAGACCTGCTCTATTTGAAAAGTGTCCTGAGACAACTGTTGAACTGTTATTAATTGGCGCTATACAAATAAAATTGAATTGAATTAATGACAATGATTATTCTCAGTAATCATATTTAATAATCAGTAGTGAATAATAATAATAATAATAATAATAATAATAAGGATTAATAATAATAACAATAATGATAATTCTTAGTAATCATAATAATCAGTAATAATAATTAATAATCAGTAATGATGATAATAATTAATAATCAGTAGTGATAATAGTAATGATTAATAATCAGTAATGGTAATAATAATAGTAATAATAATAATAATAATGATTATTCTCAGTAATGATTAATAATAATCAGTAATGATAATTATAATAATGATTTATAATAATAACCATTAATAATATTAATAATAATAATGTAAAAGAGTACTACATATATATATTACATTATACATATATATATGTAGTCACATTATATAAAGTACATTATACATATATATTTACATAGTCACATTATATATAGTACATTATACATATATATATTTATATAGTCATATATAGTACATTATACATATATATTTATATACTCACATTATATATAGTACATTTTACATATATATTTATATAGTCACATTATATATAGTACATTATACATACATATATTTATATAGTCATAATAGTTTTCTATATATTTATATAGTCACTTATATAGTACATTATACATATATATTTATATAGTCACATTTATATAGTACATTATACATATATATTTATACAGTCACATTATATATAGTACATTGTACATATATATTTATATAGTCACATTATATAGTACATTATACATATATATTTATATAGTCACATTATATATAGTACATTATACATATATATTTATACAGTCATATTATATATAGTACATTATACATATATATATTTATATAGTCACATTATATATAGTACATTATATAATATATATATTTATATAGTCACATTATATATAGTACATTATATATATATATTTATATAGTCACATTATATATAGTACATTATATATATATATATTTACATAGTCACATTATATAGTACATTATACATATATATATATTTATATAGTCACATTATATAGTACATTATACATATATATTTATATAGTCACATTATATATAGTACATTTTACATATATATATTTATATAGCCACATTATATATAGTACATTATACATATATATTTATATAGTCACATTATATATAGTACATTATACATATATATATTTATACAGTCATATTATATATAGTAAATTATACATATATATATTTATATAGTCACATTATATATAGTACATTATACATATATATTTATATAGTCACATTATATATAGTACATTATACATATATATATTTATACAGTCATATATAGTAAATTATACATATATATATTTATATAGTCACATTATATATAGTACATTATACATATATATTTATATAGTCACATTATATATAGTACATTATACATATATATTTATATAGTCACATTATATATAGTACATTATACATATATATATTTATACAGTCATATTATATATAGTAAATTATACATATATATATTTATATAGTCACATTATATATAGTACATTATACATATATATTTATATAGTCACATTATATATAGTACATTATACATATATATATTTATACAGTCATATTATATATAGTAAATTATACATATATATATTGATATAGTCATATTATATATGGTACATTATATATATATATATAGACCATTATACATAAATATATATCAGTGGCTATAAGAGTTGAATATGGAGACTGACATTCTGCTGGAGCCTCTAGTGGACGGAAGAGGAACTGCGGGGGGCGGGGCTTCGACTCTTAACAGGTGTGTTTGTGTCTGTTTCAGGAACGATAAACCTCCTCCAGCAGCGATGGCTCTGATCTCTCTGGAAGACCTCGATGGATTGGACGATGAGCAACTGGACGATGACATCACAGACAACCCTGAACCAATGGATGAAGACGACCGACTGCTGTCACACTGGCAGGCGGTTGCCAGCACCCACCAGGTGTCAGTTCCTCCAGGTGAGGGGGCGGGGCCAGCAGCCTGTGGAGGGAACTGATATCACTTAATGAACTGACAAAATAATTGGCAGATAAATTGATAATGAGACCGAAAACACTGGCAGCCATTTTGTTTCCTCCATTGTAATAATCACTAACATGACTCTGCTTCCTGTTGGGCTCTCACCCTTCATAATAAAAGCACATCAATGAGACAAGATGGCAGAGTATTGTCATTCTGGTTATAATATAAGAATATATTATAAAGTATAATATAATATGATATAATACAATGATATGATATAATAATATAATATAATAATATGATGTAATATAATATGATGTAATATAATAATATATAATATAATAATATGATGTAATATAATAATAATAATAATAATAATAATACATTTTATTTATAAGCGCTTTTCTAAATACTCAAAGACACTTTACATAAAAAAAACATAAAAGCAGCCAAACAAGATCAAATAGTAAAACATTAAAAACACATCAGACTAAGCTAAACATTAAAAGCAATTTTAAAAAGGTGAGTTTTTGTCAGTGATTTGAATGTTGGAGGGTCGGTACAGTCACGGATGTGTTTGGGGAGAGAGTTCCAGAGGGAGGGGGCAGCTACAGAGAACGATCTGTCGCCCCAGGTTCGGTGCTTGGTCCGGGGTGGAGGAGTCAGGAGGTTTGCTTCAGATGAGCGGAGGCTGCGGGATGGATTGTGGCGATGGAGCAGGTCAGTGAGGTAGGAAGGAGCCTGGTTATGGAGGGCTTCGTGTGTAAGGAGGAGGGTTTTGAACTGAATGCGCTGTGGAACTGGGAGCCAGTGGAGGTAATATGATGTAATATTATATATTCTGTGTGTGTTTCAGAAATGAATGGACCCATACAGGAAATGACCCGTAACAGCCAGCAGAGGGAGCCCCTCCCCTTCGCTACAGTATCCCGCCATGAGAAGGTAGCTCTCTGGTAGCATAACATTAGCTCTCTGGTAGCATAACATTAGCTCTCTGGTAGCATAACATTAGCTCTCTGGTAGCATAACATTAGCTCTCTGGTAGTAGCATTAGCTCTCTGGTAGTAGCATTAGCTCTCTGGTAGCGTAGCGTTAGCTCTCTGGTAGTAGCGTTAGCTCTCTGGTAGTAGCGTTAGCTCTCTGGTAGAGTAGCGTTAGCTCTCTGGTAGTAGCATTAGCTCTCTGGTAGTAGCGTTAGCTCTCTGGTAGTAGCGTTAGCTCTCTGGTAGCGTAGCGTTAGCTCTCTGGTAGTAGCGTTAGCTCTCTGGTAGCATAGCGTTAGCTCTCTGGTAGTAGCGTTAGCTCTCTGGTAGTAGCGTTAGCTCTCTGGTAGCGTAGCGTTAGCTCTCTGGTAGTAGCGTTAGCTCTCTGGTAGTAGCGTTAGCTCTGTGGTAGTAGCGTTAGCTCTGTGGTAGTAGCGTTAGCTCTCTGGTAGAGTAGCGTTAGCTCTCTGGTAGTAGCGTTAGCTCTCTGGTAGCGTAGCGTTAGCTCTCTGGTAGCGTAGCGTTAGCTCTCTGGTAGTAGCGTTAGCTCTCTGGTAGTAGCATTAGCTCTCTGGTAGTAGCGTTAGCTCTCTGGTAGCGTAGCGGTAGCTCTCTGGTAGTAGCGTTAGCTCTCTGGTAGCGTAGCGGTAGCTCTCTGGTAGCGTAGCGTTAGCTCTCTGGTAGTAGCGTTAGCTCTCTGGTAGTAGCATTAGCTCTCTGGTAGTAGCGTTAGCTCTCTGGTAGCGTAGCGGTAGCTCTCTGGTAGTAGCGTTAGCTCTCTGGTAGCGTAGCGTTAGCTCTCTGGTAGTAGCGTTAGCTCTCTGGTAGTAGCGGTAGCTCTCTGGTAGTAGCATTAGCTCTCTGGTAGTAGCGTTAGCTCTCTGGTAGTAGCGTTAGCTCTCTGGTAGCGTAGCGGTAGCTCTCTGGTAGTAGCGGTAGCTCTCTGGTAGCGTAGCGTTAGCTCTCTGGTAGTAGCGTTAGCTCTCTGGTAGTAGCGGTAGCTCTCTGGTAGTAGCATTAGCTCTCTGGTAGTAGCGTTAGCTCTCTGGTAGTAGCGTTAGCTCTCTGGTAGTAGCGTTAGCTCTCTGGTAGTAGCGTTAGCTCTCTGGTAGCGTAGCGGTAGCTCTCTGGTAGTAGCGTTAGCTCTCTGGTAGTAGCATTAGCTCTCTGGTAGTAGCGGTAGCTCTCTGGTAGTAGCATTAGCTCTCTGGTAGTAGCATTAGCTCTCTGGTAGTAGCATTAGCTCTCTGGTAGTAGCATTAGCTCTGTGATTAAGGCTGTCTCTCACTCAGATGGGGGAGCTGCTGTATGAGGAGCGGCTGTACTCTGCAGGGAACTGGGCCTGTGTGACCAGAGGAGAAGATCTGTACGAGCAGAGCATCTCGATGGGCTTCATGAAACTGATGCGCTTCATCTGCAACGAGAACTCTGCAGGTCAGACTCCGCCCATAGCACAATGTTTAAGCTTTGAAACAGAGGATCATGTGTGATCAGTATTGATTATCAGATATTGATCGTGTACAGGTAGATACCTGGGGATGACGGTGCCGGTGATCAGTAACATCCACATGATGGAGGACGGAAACACGTTTGAGAAAGACGTCCAGACGGCGTTCTTCCTGCCAGCCGAATACCAGACCAACCCCCCCCGCCCCTCTGACCCCGACATAACCATCGTCCACAGAGAGCCAATCAGAGTGGTCGCCAGGTAGAACTTTAAACTCTACAGGTGTTTCTGTATGAATCAATGTTTGCAGTGTGGGTCTGACGGGGCGGTGTGGGTCTGGCTGTGGGTCTGGCGGTGCGGTGTGGGTCTGGCTGTGCGGTGTGGGTCTGGGTCTGGCTTGCGTCTGGCGGTGCGGTGTGGGTCTGGCGGGCGTTGGGTCTGGCCGTTGCGGGGCGTTTCTGGCGGTGGGTCTGCGGGCGGTGTGGGTCTGGCGGTGCGGTGTGGGTCTGGGTGGGTCTGGGGGCGGTGTGGGTCTGGCGTTGAACGTTATTCTAAATATGATTGTCAGTTATTTTATGGCGTTCAGTGTTTGTCTCTGTTGGCCGACGCCCACAGACTTAATGTGTTGATGTTCTGCTCTCTGATTGGCCGTCAGGACGTTCTTTGGGACGACCACGGAGGAGACGGTGACTCATCAGATTGGGCTGTTGTGGGAGATTTTGGGCGTCACCGACGAACTCCACAGAGACGAATACATGGTCGCCGTGTACGAGAACCCTGGCGTACCCCGCCGCAGGAACGAGATCTGGTTCATCAGACGCAACTTATAGACTTCCCATCATTCCCTGCTCCTCTTCCTCCTCTGGTTGGTGGCAGAGGTCAATCTGACCAATCAGAGCAGGTTTATGTTTGTTAGCAGGCCCTGACACTAAGCCCCGCCCCTCTCTGACTAACTGATCTGCCATTGGTTCATCATATCAACAGGAAATACAACACTTTATTTTGTCAAGCTTCTGTCCTGATTGGCTGTGGTCCAACCAATCAGATCTTCTCTGTAATCTTCATAGCGATGATGTCAGAGTTGCATGTTTGTGATGCAGGTAATCAATATTGAGCTGATCAGACTGTAAACAGCAAATTCTATTGGTCATATGTAAAATGTTAACCTCTGACCTGCGAGTGTGAGAGGTCATCAGACTGACCCCAGATCAGGTCTTTATTCAAACCAGGAAATCAGCAGCTAGTTAGCTTAGCATAGTATAAAGACGTTGACACGTTGTAGCGAGTAGCTAACAGCCGGTCCTGGTCCGGTCCTGGTCCGGTCCTGGTCCGGTCCTGGTCCGGTCCTGATGCAGTTTGAGGACCGGATTCTGGTTTTTACAGTTTGTGAAAGAATATTTTTGTAAAATAACGACAGAGCATGTGAACTTTAATTATTGTGATTTTTGGTGCCTGTTCAGACTTCCTGTTGTTCATTTTCACTGTAAACGTTTTTTATTGGTTGTTCAAATGTTTGTGAATAAAAGAATAAATTCAACCTGATGTGAGAGTGAACTGAAATATTGAACAAAACAACCTGAAAGAACCAACTGTACCTGAAAGCAGCATCAACACACAACAACGTTTGGTTTCAGACATTTTAATGAAAAGTTTAACAATAACAGGAAACGGCTTTCTGATCGGACCATAATCAATAATCCTCAAGCCCAAACCGATAAAAATTACTTTAATGAACCTCCTACTGCGTCACACTGAACTCTGACCTCTTCACTTCTTCTTACTCTTCCCCGGTCTAACAGGTCTGGCGAGCAGTGCCGGGTCGATCTGATCTGGAGTCAGTCCTCTGATGGAGAAGAGTCGGGCGGCGCGCTCCGTCAATGTTCCCCCACACTTCAACCCTCGAGACATCAGTTCCTCCTTCAGGACGTCCAGACCCAGAGACTCCAGCTGGTCTACAGAGGGCACTGAGGCCAGATCCAGCAGAGACTGACCCCCCTTCTGCTGCTTCTGCTGAGGATGTTCACACCAAAACCTCAGTCAAACATTCACCAAACCTCAGTCAAACATTCACCAAACCTCAGTCAAACATTCACCAAACCTCAGTCAAACATTCACCAAACCTCAGTCAAACATTCACCAAACCTCAGTCAAACATTACAAACCTCAGTCAAACATTCACCAAACCTCAGTCAAACATTCACAAACCTTAAACATTACCAACCTCGTCAAACATTCACCAAACCTCAGTAACATTCACCAAACCTCGTCAAACTTCACCAAACCTCAGTCAAACATTCACCAAACCTCAGTCAAACATTCACCAAACCTAGGGATGCACGATAACTTTTTTTTTTAAAACCGATACCGATAACACACACATATACATATATATATATGATCATGACATTAATACTATGAACAAACCCAAAAACACTTTTGACTCTTTAAATGGAGATATTGGCGAGCCTCTCAAAAAAAATAAAGGACCCTTGAACTGATGCAAATACATGCATTGGGATTACAAACTGAAAAAGTGCATTCCAGAAGTTCAAAAATTATATAGTGATCGATCGCATCATACTTGGCTGGAAGGCACACATCAGAAAAGTAGCGGCGGCTCAGCAATGTAAATCGTGGCTCCAAGTGATTAATCTGGCGAGAAAAGTGCCGGGCTGGTCGTCAAGTGCCGGAAATTCCCTGTTCCCACGTTTGATAGTCGTTCTTTCGGCCTTTTTAAGTTCAAGTTTCTATTGTTTATGTGCAACATGTAGAAAAATACTGTGGATATCAATTCAAGTCAGCAACTACCAAAATTATGACTGAGTTTACGAGTTCTTTTCCGACATGAGGGGGTATTCTTGAATTTTCCAAGTCAGAAAGAGTTTGTCTGATTATGCCAACGTCACTTGAACGCAGCATTCACTGCGGGGTTTCCAGCTCTCATAGTGGGAGTGGGGCAATGCCGTGCTGACAAAATTATATATGTTATCAGGGCTATTCGTCATGATATCGGACTTATCGGAATGACGTAATAATTTCCTGTTATCGGCCCAATAACTATCGTGCACCCCTAACCAAACCTCAGTCAAACATTCACCAAACCTCAGTCAAACATTCACCAAACCTCAGTCAAACATTCACCAAACCTCAGTCAAACATTCACCAAACCTCAGTCAAACATTCACCAAACCTCAGTCAAACATAAATATAAAGATAAAGATACAGTGTATTCTGATCAATATCATCCATAAAAGATACAGTGTATACTGATCAATAATCAATAAAGATACAGTGCATACTGATCAATAATCAATAAAGATACAGTGTATTCTGATCAATAATCAATAAAGATACAGTGCATACTGATCAACAATCAATAAAGATACAGTGTATTCTGATCAATAATCAATAAAGATACAGTGTATTCTGATCAATAATCAATAAAGATACAGTGCATACTGATCAATAATCAATAAAGATACAGTGCATACTGATCAATAATCAATAAAGATACAGTGCATACTGATCAATAATCAATAAAGATACAGTGCATACTGATCAACAATCAATAAAGATACAGTGCATACTGATCAACAGAGTCGGACCTCAGTAGAACCAGAGCTGTTGGTGGATCAGACATTATGGGATGGACAGACTGACCTGCTGAGACAAGCTGCTGGACTCTGCTGGTTTAGAAGCTTCTGGAGGTCTCTGGTCCTCTGAGGGTCTGACGGTCTGGTCTCTGGGGGGTTCTGGAGGTCTCAGGTCCTCTGAGGGTCTGACGGTCTGGTCTCTGGGGGTTTCTGGAGGTCTGTGGTCCTCTGAGGGTCTGACGGTCTGGTCTCTGGGGGGTTCTGGAGGTCTCAGGTCCTCTGAGGGTCTGACGTTCTGGTCTCTGGGGGTTTCTGGAGGTCTCAGGTCCTCTGATGAGGAGCTGTTAAATAAAAAGTGAGATATAAAACCTGGTGTTTGGGGACCAAAATCTGGACTCTGGATCAGGTCTCTACCTGCCACTCTGCTCAGGCTCCGCCTCCTCTGCCCATGTTGTCATGGTAACAGCAGCAGCTCCGCCACTGGAGGAGGAGCATGGAGACTCTTCCTCCTCGTCTTCATCCTCTGAACTCTGCAGCTCATCTACCCCTGTCCTGTAACCACGACAACAGATTAAATAAACCTTCCTTACAAAATAAAAGCTCAAAAGGACAGACAGACAGACAGACAGTAAAGACAGACAGTAGAGACAGAAGGACAGACAGTAAAGACAGAAGGACAGACAGTAGAGACAGTAGAGACAGACAGTAGAGACAGACAGTAGAGACAGAAGGACAGACAGTAGAGACAGACAGTAAAGACAGACAGACAGTAAAGACAGTCAGTAGAGACAGACAGACAGAAGAGACAGACAGTAGAGACAGACAGACAGTAAAGACAGTAGTGACAGACAGTAGAGACAGACAGACAGTAAAGAGAGACAATAGAGACAGACAGACAGTAGAGACAGTCAGACAGTAGAGACAGACAGTAAAGACAGTAGAGACAGACAGACAGTAGAGACGGACAGACAGTAAAGACAGAGAGTAGAGACAGTAGAGACAGACAGTAGACTGACAGACAGTGAAGACAAACAGTAGAGACAGACAGACAGTAAAGACAGACAGTAGAGACAGAAGGACAGACAGTAAAGACAGTAAAGACAGACAGTAGAGACAGAAGGACAGACAGTAGAGACAGACAGACAGTAAAGACAGTCAGTACAGACAGACAGAAGAGACAGGCAGTAGAGACAGACAGACAGTAAAGACAGACAGTAGAGACAGACAGACAGACAGACAGTAGAGACAGACAGTAGAGACAGACAGTAGAGACAGTAGAGACAGACAGACAGACAGACAGTAGAGACAGACAGTAGAGACAGACAGACAGACAGACAGTAGAGACAGACAGTAGAGACAGACAGTAGAGACAGTAGAGACAGACAGACAGACAGACAGACAGTAGAGACAGACAGTAGAGACAGACAGTAGAGACAGACAGACAGACAGAAGAGGGTTGGGAACCAGTGCGTCTCTACCGCCCGTGGAATCGACCCGTCGCCGTGTTTCCACAGAATGTAAAGAATAGGAAACGGGGAACAGACTGACCAGAAACACGCCGCCGCCACTGCCGTCTTCTTCTTCTTCTTCTTCTTGGCGTGCGGCTGCTCGCTCTGATCCGAGGTTGGTCTCTTTGTTGCAGAGACGTCGTCGACCTTCACCAGACCGCTGGAGGACGCCTGCAGACCTGAGACACAGAGACAGCCCGACTGATCAATCGCTGTGACACTGTTCTATCTATCTGACAGACAGCAAACATAAACAGGAAGTAGCCAGCGTTGACGGGATCAGCTGATCATTTGAATGCTCCGAGGCTAGCAACTGACCCTTCATAAGTCCCGCCCCTTTTTGGCTAACCTACGTTGAAAGACAACCACATTACAGTTAAAGGATAAGAGACATGGCTAGTTGCTGCATTAGTTTGCCAGGTGAGCCTAATTAATGGGAAACTACTTAAGGATGTTGTTCCACATTATTAAGCAAGTCACAGGTTTCATGCAATATAGGGGAAAAAATATCTTTCTGCAGATGAAAAGCGTGAAATAGTGCAGTATATTTCAATAGGTATGAAACCACTGGATATCTTACGAAAAACTAAGAGAGATCATCGTCCCATGAAAAAATTTGTGTCTGATTCAGAGCGCAGAAGGGTTCGTTCAGATATAGGCGTGTTAAGGAAAGTCTCTGTAAGGCTAATTCATAGTATTCAGAGAGCAGCTGTGAAAAAGCCACTGATGATAGTAAACAGGTATTTGAAGCTGCTGGTGCCTCTGGAGTCCCAAGAACCTCTCGACGCAGGATCCTCCAGAGGCTTGCTGATGTGCATAAAGCTGTATTTCAGCCGCCCTCAAACAATGCCCACAAGGAGACATGACTAACGGTTTTATTCACTGATGTATGCTGTGCTACACTGGATGGTCCAGATGGATGGAGTTCTGGATGGCCACCATGTCCCAACAAGGCTGCAATGTCAGCAAGGAGGTGGTGGAGGATCTTCTGGGCTGGAATCATGGGAAGTGAGTTGGTAGCCCCGTTAAGGTGCCTGAAGGTGTCAAAATGACCTCTGCAAAATATGTGGAGGCTGTAATGGGCATTAAGGGAGAAAGAATCACGGTGTGGCCACCATCATCTCCTGACCTCAACCCTACTGACAACCTGTGGAGCATCCTTAAAAGGAAGCTCTATGAGGCGGGGGGGCAGTTTACCTCAAACAGCAGCTCTGGGAGGAAATCCAGGCAGAAACTGTACATGGACTTACAGGTTCAATGGATGAGCGTTGTTAATGTTAATATAGAACTCCATCTTTAAGGATGTTTTTCATTTAAATAGCTTTGATTTGAGAAAAATTATCTTCTGATGCAAAACATACAACAGATGTCTGTTTTCAATCCTTTACAAACTATTGAGTGTTCTGAAACTCTGTTTTGCGTAATAATTTAGAACACTGCATTTTGAGTTATCGTCGTCGTCGTCGGTAACTGTGTTTAATAAAATCCAGATTACGATATAATTGTTGAGGAAAAGAACAGAGAGAGTTTCTGTAGATTATCTGGAACAGTGTAGTTCCAGTGAACTGTGTGATGTCACTGCGTTAGGTTCAGTCTGCTTGCTGACCCCTGACCCCTGACCCCTGACCTTTGATGACCGAGTCCTCCAGCCTCTCGGACAGGTCGTGGCACTGCTGCTGGTACTCCGGATC